AGAAACCTTATCACTATATAAGCCCCTCCTTCCTCTTTTATATTGTAGTTAATAAATACCTCAACATAAATTTAAAATCCCATCAGACAAAAGTTATAATTCTTGTCTTCAAACATCAGACATGTTAAAGAACGAAAGAGGAGAATATTTACCTAGATGTTTACAATTTCTGTTCCTCCTTCATTCCTGATGCTCTAAGTTTTCTTCTGATATCATTTTGCTTCTATCTGAAGAATTTCCTTTAGAACAAGTTACTAAAAATGAATTCTTTTTTTCTCCATCTGAGAATAATTTTTATTTCACCTTCATGTATGAAGAATGTTTTTGCTGGATACAGAATGTCTGGTTGAAAGTTCTGTTCTTTCAGCACTTTAAAAGTGTTCCACTTTCTGTTGCCCTTCACTTCTGATAAGAAATCTGCAGTCATTCAAATTGTTAGTCTTCTATAAGTAATGTATCATTTTTCTCTGGATGCTATCTAGATTCTCTTCATCTTTAGTTTTCAGAAATTTGATTATAATATGATTATAATATGTTTGAGATTAGAACTCCCTGGATTTATTCTGCATGGGGTTTCCTGAGGATTGGGAATGATGAAGACAGGAAGATTTCTGAGAAAGAAGCAAAGTGTTATATAATTTAAATTCATGAATTGCAACTGTTCCAGTTAAATATGTTTTTATGTTGTTGAACTGACAAGTTAGAATGTCCTTGGTAGAAAACACAAAATGTATTTCAGCCATTAAGAATATTGTGGCTTTTCAACTGGGGACTCTTTCAACCCATCCATAGCATAAACATAGTATTACCAGTATATTACTAGTATATTTAAGAATATTACATATTTGTAAACCATAGAGAGAGGCAATTCTATTAAATCTGCTTTGAGCTGTTCAGAAGTCCTTTAGGACTGTTTTTCTTTTTTTAATTTTTTAAAATTGGTTATGAATATTCATGAATACAAAGCTGATTGTCACCCCTCGTGCCCAAGATGTGAAGGCCAGATTCCTACTGGCAGCATGCCCATTACCACAAATTAGGAATGGTTTTAATCCTTACTTCACCTTGAGAATTTTTCCAGGTTAATTTATTTCCAAATGAGACATGAACTGGGCCATATCCTCTGCTATCCAAGGTAAATTTTCCAGTCCATGTTTAATATTGTGGCCAATTTTTTCCTATTGGAGTGAGATGTTTCATGAAGTTTTTAGTGTCTATTTGAGGTTTTATCTGGTGCTGTTGGGTGGCCATTCTGATTACATCAGCTTTTATCCTCATGGACCCTATAACTTGATCATCTCTTGTTTCTTTTGAAATTTGACAGGCCAGATTTTGTGTATTTATGATGGAATCTTTTACCTTCATCATGAATTTGTTATTATTTTATTGTTGTTTTATATTAGGACGTTGCATAAGGACTTTTAGTCAAAGCAATATGTTTATAGTAATGGCCTTTAAAGTATTTCTATAGTATCTACAGTATAAATACTACCTTGCATAATATCTTCTTACTGTGTCTCTACTTTTATGATAGCAATTATGTTAAGTAGTATCCATCCATCAAGTAGTTAATGTATTTGTTGTTTTTTAAAGGATATCTGAGGAACCTCTTTTCTTTGCAGCATTTTCAAGAAATGGATTATTCTAAAAACATACTAGCTATTAGTGTATGTATTTACTTTTATTTTAGCAAGTTGCTCTGTCTTAAAGGACCACAGTTAAGTCATTTGATCAATTTGGCTTCTGGTAAGAAATTGAATTTTATCAGAGTGACTGAAGTACCTGTTATATCAAGTCTGGTATTGTCACTTTTTATTTTTGATATAAAACCCATTAACAAACAGTAAGGTCAGAAATTTAGTACTAGAGAGTTCAAAAGTTTTGTTTGGGGCTTAGATATTTCTTGAATTATGGAAACATCATGAGATTTTCTCTCATTACACAAGGGTGCATGGATTAAGAATGTTATACCAGTGGATGGCTTTATTAAAAGGAGAAAGTAACAATATTTCATAATTACTCAAATGGTAGAAAATTTGGTGTGGTTTCCTTTAGCAATAGGGATTTACTATGTGTGGTAACATTAGTTTTAAAGGCCTAGTATAAGCTCTGAAGATGCATTGACTAATTTAGTTAAGGTCTATTATTGCTTTGAGACAGATGCTAAGCCTTAGCTATTGAATTAAGGTATAAGATTTGATAGGCACTGGGTTTTTGGTTCCATGTTGTGAGTTAATACTCCCAGAACACCGTGTAATGTTTTTATTCTCCAAAAGGAAAAATTTAAGGAGATTCCATCTATAGTCAGGACTCTGCTCCAATGAATCTATGTCCATGGATTCTTTTGTCCAAAGGATTTTTTTTTTTTTTTTTTTTTGCTTCTTCTTGAATTATACACAGTATAGGTATTCCCATATCTAGATCAGCTATCATTTGATGCTATGTAGGAACTTTAGTACATTTTATTTGGAAACAGATCCTGTCTATTAAATTTATACATATTGTGTTTCAGCACATAAAGACGTATTCTTCTGATAGTGGCCTCAGCAATATCATTTACAGATTGGAACCTAGGACCATTAGTGATTCCTACTACTTGAGTTCTATTAAACCAATGTAACTTTATTTTCTCTCAAGTCTTTTACAATTTACTCTATACTTTCAAATTTGTCTTTTATTATTTTCTTTTGACATCTGTTACAACCAGTTGTTTTTATTTTAAGATTATTTTTTCTGTTTTTTTTGTTGTTGTTTTTTTTTTCTTGTTTGGTTGGGTTTTTTTACTCCCCCCTCCCCCTCCCCATTTTCTTCTTTTTGGGTTTTTTTTTGTTTGTTTTTACAGACAACTTTAAAATTTTCCTCTGATGTATCTGATATTCTATAGTAGTGGAATTGGTGGGAGAAATAGTGACCCTGTAAATAAGAAAGCTGTATTATTGTCCATCTACAATTTTAGATGATGTCCCTTGGACGTTTAGGAGAAGGATAGGGCATTATCGGGTGATAATGTCTCCCTCAGAGCAGCATCTTTGGATAGATTTTGGATAGCTGTCCTTTTGTGTTTTAGCCAGTGTGAGACATTGGTTCCTTTACTGGCCCTTTTGCTTGTCGTTTTTTCAAGTACCGTCATCAGAATTTCCCAAATCTTAGAAGACAAATCTTTTGGTGGTTTTATCTGGAGAGAAAAAAATTGTATTAATTTCCAGCTTGTTTAACTTCTTAAAGCTCTTTGAAAATGTCTAATCATATATTGGATATATTCTAGATTAGCAGTTTTACATTTTACTTTACTTTGATTAAATCCTTTTATTCTGGTTTGAACCTATTTATAATAACAGGACAATATGCCCTTTGCTTCAGCTGTTGCGTATAATCAAGAATACTACTATGAAGTCTATTTTTCACCTTTATTTCATTTACAATTTTTAATCTTTGTTAAATACAATCTTAGGTGAAAGTCTTCTGAAAATGCCTAATGTCGTGTTGTGTTGTTTTTTTTTTTTTAATTATTTTATACGATTGGGTTATTTAAATCTTCTCTTTTCTACCTAGCTTTGTTTTTCTGTACCTGAAGGGATAGCAGTTAATTAAACCAGGTAGTATAGATCTGTAGTCTAGGGTAGCAGTATTTAACACAGTCCTGAATTCTGTAGCAAATTTCTGTCTTCCTAAAGTTAATGAAAATCCTTAAGTATAGCCCCTGACTTGGAACTATGCCAGAGTTTTAGTTTAGCTTCTGTAGGCCTGGCTTCTGGCCTAGTAATTTTATAGTATGATTTTATTTTTTGAGAAAACCCTGAAGAAAAGGTGGCTTATATAGAAAAACTTAGTAAAACTTAGTAGAAAGAAAGAAAAATTCAAGGAGGGTAGAGACTTTTAAATTAAAATTTTGTTTGTGGTCTCTGTATACCACTTCACATAGCTGCCTATTGACTATTTCATGTTTTGTCTCCTAATTTTGTTAGCTTCTATTAAACATATTATTGATTTTAACATATTAGAAGTTTCTCATAATGGCCAGTGTTGTTCTAAGTCAAAACTTTACTAAGGCAAGTGCAAGAGCTGGGATTATAATGCAACTTTCTATAAGATGCAGAAGTTCCTCCAAGAGGAGGTTGAGACTTGACATAACATGTCACATAGAGACCACATTGGCTGGTCAATAGTATATGTTTGTGAAGAGTATCTCAGATCACCTGACCAAGTAGATGCTAGGAAGGGCACTTACAGTCAAAGACCTGGCAATTGTTGACCCCAGAGTACAGACCAATGAACAAAGTGACCTTTCTCAACAACGAGGAGATAGGGAGTACCCTAAAAGGGCACAATTTCTAAACAATATGATATTGTATTCATTGGATATGTACTTTTTTCCTATCATAAATTCAGGATGTTTTAAATACATTCTAGTTATGAGTGCAAATCATTTATGTGTGTTCTAACTTTTTTGAAATATAAATTCACTTTCAAGCTTGTGCCATCCTAACAAGCAAAACCACAAGGTGTTCTGAGATGGGTTTTTCTCCCTAGACAATGAACAATCCTGTAGCAGATGTAGCTTAAGATGCATATCTGTGTTAACATGAAACTAAAATAAAGTGATATACTGCAGTGGATTGAATGGCCCCTCAAAATCATTGAAACTTAATCCCCATTGTAACTGTTGAGGGTGGAAAATCCCATTATGACAATTGAAAGGTGGGGCCTTGAAGAAGTTATTAGATTGTAAGGACCATGCCCTAGTTGATGTCCTTTAGAAGGAGAGCACGTGAGAGTCTCTCTCTCTTTGCTCTGCCATTCTGCCATGTGAGGCCCCTGCTTATCTGCCAAAGAAGACCCTTACCAGATGTGTTCACTGGACTTTGGACTTCTCAGCCTCCGAAACTATAAGCAGTAAATTTCATTTTCTTACAAAGTACCCAGTTCTAGGTGTTTTGTTATAAGCAACAGAAACGGACTACATATGCTGGCTTTATGTTGAGTCTTGATTTTAATTTTAGTTATAGGTATTCCTTTAGAAATGAGTTGCACAATTGAGAAGGCACTTGCTGATGCTAAAGCTCTTGTTGAAAGATTGAGAGATCACGATGATGCAGCAGAATCTCTGATTGAGCAAACCACAGCTCTCAACAAGCGGGTAGAAGCCATGAAGCAGGTTTGATTTTTCTTTCTTTTCGATTCCATTTAACAAAGCAATCATTGACATTTATGTGTTATTTGAATCATAAACTGCTGCTTAATTAGTATCTAATTTTTTAAAATGTTCTTTAAAATTTTGACGTCACTTGACCTGTATGTTTCAGTTTTACTTTAGACCGGGATATTATTTTGTCATGTTCAGGTGACATGTGTGTGTGTGGGGGGGGGGGGTTCTAAAACCTGTAGCTGTTGATCACTTATTTTTTCTGACAGAGATGCACATTTAAGTGTAAAAAATGAATTTGTTATGTCTAGCTACATTCGACAAAAACCAGATAATAGCTTTTGTTGACACACATTTGGCTCTGTTACATAATGTAGAAGTGTTTATATTTTTCTTTATGGAAGTTCTTAGGTGATTCTATTTAACAACAAATTAGTCTCTTGTGTGTGGGGGGGGGGGGGGGTTCTAAAACCTGTAGCTGTTGATCACTTATTTTTTCTGACAGAGATGCACATTTAAGTGTAAAAAATGAATTTGTTATGTCTAGCTACATTCGACAAAAACCAGATAATAGCTTTTGTTGACACACATTTGGCTCTGTTACATAATGTAGAAGTGTTTATATTTTTCTTTATGGAAGTTCTTAGGTGATTCTATTTAACAACAAATTAGTCTCTGAAAACGATTCATGGCAATATCTGATTTACACCTCGAACAGTTAGTGCATTCATATTTGCCACCTTTTTTTCATTAATGCTGCCAAATGAAGAAATTGAAAGGGATTTCACTTCTTGCTATCCTTAGTGTTGTATAACAGAATCTTTCAGTGGGCAATGGAGTTTAGCTACCATTTTAAACCTTGCTCTGATGAAAATTTTCAATTCCTTTAAAATCTCTGATATTATATACTCTGGTTTCTCTTCAGATCGTATAAATCTTTCGCCTTTTTTAAAATCTCTGATATTATGATGGAAATCAGAGGTGGGGAATGTATATTCACAGCCAGCTCTTTTGAAACTCATCCATTTTGTAAAAGGAAGCAACCCTGGGATAATGCTTTTAACAAAACTACTGGAAATAATGGAACAAGTTTACTTATTTTGTTTTGCAGCTATGTTGCCCTGAGCAGATTACCTGCCTTGCTAACTGTCCAGCTTGACACAGGCATTACAGTGAACATATACCTAGTATTGAGTTGTTTAAAAAAAAAAAAAAAATTTGACATCTGAACTTCAGAATTACTAAGTGTCTTGTAAGAATGCATTGAAAATAAATGAGTGAAATTTTAAAGTTAGATTTTCATTTTTCTTTAAATGCAAAACCTTTTTGCATTTATTTTGCACATGTTCTATTATTATTGAGGCGTAATTTACATACCATAAAATTCACTCTTTTGAAGAGTACAGTTCATTGGATTTTAGTATATTTACAGGTGTACAACCATATCTGCTATCTAACTCCGGAACATTTTCATCAACCCAAAACCCCATATCCATTAGCACTCTCTCCCTAACTTTCCTTTCCCCCAGCCCCTGGCAACCACTAATCTTTCTGTCTCTGTGGATTTGCCTGTTCTGGATATTTCATATGAATGGAATGATACAATATGTAGCTTTTTGTGGATGACTTCTTAACATAGTATTCTTAAGATTCATCTGTGTTGTAGCATATATCAGTACTTCATTTCTTTCTCTTTTTTCCAAAATATTTTAACAGTTACTTGTACATGTTTGTGGGGTACAGTGTGTTGTTTCAATACATGCATGCACTGCACAATGATTCACTTAGAGTAGATAGCATAGCTTTGTACCCATTAGTCCATCATTTTTCCTCCCCCTGCCCCCCACCCTCTGGTAACCATTATTCCTTAGTACTTCATTCCTGTGTATTGCTGAGAAATATTGCATTGTAAGGGTACAGCACATTGTGTTTATCCATTCATCAGTTAGTGGACATTTGGATTGACCTACTTTTTGGCTATTATGAATAATGCTGCTATGAATATTTCTATACAAATTTCTGTGTGGACATATGTTTTCATTCCTCTTGGATATATACCTAGGAATGGAACAGATAGGTCATATAATAACTCTGTGTCTAACTTGAGGTTCTGTCAGATTGTTTCCCAAAGCTACCACATCATTTTGCATTCCCATCAACAATGTACAAAAGTTGGAATCTTTTCACATTCTCTCCAACACTTGTTATTGTCTGTCTTTTTTATTCTAATAGTCCTAGTGGTTGTGAAGTGGTATCTGTCTCACTGTTGCATTGAATTGCTTTTCCCTAATGACTGATGTTAAGCATCTTTTCATGTGCTTATTGGCCATTTGTGTATCTTCTTTAGAGAAATGCCTATTTAAATCCTTTGCCCGTTTTTTAATTGGGTTATTTACTTCTTTTGTTGATTTGTAACAGTTCTTTATATATTCTGGATACTAGATTCTTATCAGATTGATTATTTATATATCCTATATGTTTATTTATATATATATATATTTATATATTCTGGATACTAGATTCTTATCAGATTGATTATTTATATATCCTATATGTTTATATATATATATATATATATCCCCCCCCCAAGTATTTTCCCCCCACATGTTCTTTTTTAATCTTTTCTTTAGTATCAGGAAGAAATTCAAGAACTTAATGAAGTTGCAAGACATCGGCCTCGGTCCACATTAGTAATGGGAATCCAGCAAGAAAACAGACAAATTAGAGAATTGCAACAAGAGAACAAAGGCAAGATATTTTATCATTATGAATAGCAAATCAAAAGAGAACTTTAATGTGCAATTGTACTATGGATTTGGGACCAATTAATACTTTCAAAAATGGGAAAACAGCAAACTAAAGATACTTTCTGACATTAATTCCATTTCTAGTTCATATGCTTAAATTATATTTATTGCTCTTTATCCTGTCCTGTATCTGAATGTCTGCTTTACTTGGTGTCATCTTAGAGTCTTTCTCTCTGGTTTGCGCCATTGTTCTTACCTATGGAATAATTCATCTTTGTTTTCTGCAGTCCCACTGCTTTGGCCCCCAGCTTAGGTGTTCATAGTCTCTTGCCTGAACTGTCCTAACTGGTCTCCCTGCTTCCGGTCTCTTTTCCCCTTCTAATCCATCTTCAACACAAGTATCAGATTGATATTTTTTAAAAAATTAATCTGATTATTCTTTTGCTTAAGGACTTTCATTTTATCCTTATTTCCTTATACAAGGACCTTCTAAGTCAATTCCTGGGTTTCTTTTCTTTCTACTTTCCATAACGCTCTTCTCCCCAAAGCCTTTGTTCTTGCCATCCCAAACAACTTCCTAAACACGTCATCCACTTTCATGCCTTCCTGCTTAGAATGCTATTCCTTCATTTTTCAACTCAAGGAACTAAAGTTTATCTCAATACTATACTTCTGTGAAGCCTTCTCCAGTTTTTCCCCCACAAACTTCTCTTAAATATATTTGAGTAGCACTCCACTAAGCACTTACCGCATACTTGTTTTCTCTACTGGACTCTGAGCTCTATGGCCTTTTGGTATTCGGGGTTTTTTTTTTGTTTGTTTGTTTTGTTTTGTTTTGTTTTATGTGACTGGTAAGGGGATCGCAACCCTTGGCATGGTGTCGCCCACACCGCGCTCAGCCAGTGAGCACACTGGCCATCCCTATATAGGACCCGAACCCATGGCCTCGGCGCTCTCAGTGCCACTGCGCTCCCAGCGCCGCACTCTCCCAAGTGAGCCACAGGGTCGGCCCTTGGTATTCTTAATATAGAGATATAAGTGAGCACACTGGCCATCCCTATATAGGACCCGAACCCATGGCCTCGGCGCTCTCAGTGCCGCTGCGCTCCCAGCGCCGCACTCTCCCAAGTGAGCCACAGGGTCGGCCCTTGGTATTCTTAATATAGAGATATAGCATTGTCTATAATTTAATTGCCGTTCAGTAAATGTTTGCTGGAATGTTTCTCAATAAACAAGTTTCAAATGGTCATTTAAAAAACTAATAAGGGATTTCATTTGGTGTTCTTTACTGTTGTATAGCTAGACTTGTGCATCATGTTTTACCCCATTTATCAATTGCTTTTGATAAATGTTATGTAGAAGAGAATATTTTGTGTACCTTTAATTCACTGTTGAATAAAATACACTGTTATTCTTGATAGAACTGCGTACATCCCTGGAAGAACATCAGTCCGCCTTGGAACTTATAATGAGCAAATATCGAGAACAAATGTTTAGATTGCTAATGGCGAGCAAAAAAGATGATCCGGGTATAATAATGAAGTTAAAAGAGCAGCACTCCAAGGTAATTCATTCTGTAATTGTGAAATGGAAAAGAGGGATGATTGGTTGACTTGTGTTCAGATAAAAAATAAATAAATAAACACACACACAGGTTATGTAGTAATGCTATTTTAACATGATACTGAATATCTTTTTAATTGATATTTTCTGCTTTTCCTTGTTTTTTATTTCTTGTTTGTTATATCATTTTCTGTTTGATTTACTCTTCTAACTCTTATTGTTCACTAGTAACTTTAATATATGTATTCAAAAATAAACTTTATTTTTAGAAATGAAGGTAAGTCTTCAAAATTATTGTTGTAAGGTTATCTGCTTTTAAGGAATATTCTAATTTGCGTATTGTCCTCTGTTGCAAAAACAAAAATTGAAATGCTGAAATCTTTTTCTTTTTTAATTCTGAAAGCAGCTAAATGCACATTTGTTTTCCTTAAGACTGTTTTCTGAATGAAGCTAATTCATCCAGACTATAAATGATCCTGATTATAATGGAAAAAGCGTGAAGTTGGGGAGAGGAAAAGAACCAACATATTAAAATTTTACTGCTCCCCCAGTATTGCATGCCAGTTGACATCATTTTTAGAGATAAAGCTGAAGTGGTTAGAAAATAGTGTTTTTCCTGCTGTTCATCGTGTCGTCTTCCCTGTCCGTTCCCTTTGCTATGACCCTGTATTTGCTAGCAATTGCTATGAAAACAAGTAGAATAATCTCTTCCCATTTACATTTTATTTTAAACTGTATTTTAACTGCTGATGTGAAATAAAATATTGGACTAGATTGTGATAACTATGCCATTATTTGTATTGGATAATGATGAACTAACTATTATTAGTTATTACTAATATTATTTAAGAAATATTGTTATAAGACATCGTTTTGTCTTTCTCAATTAGGAAACAAATTTTAGATTATTTAAAATATTACTTCCATTTTGGTGCTTGTAGGCATTTTAAAATTATTATTAATTCTGTTAGAATTAAATACCTAAAAAATAGCTCTTAGTGTGACAACTTTACATATCAGGGACCTTAGTGATAGGGATCTCATGTGTCAGCTAGTAAAATAATAAATTTGTGCTTTTGTGTTTAATATTATCTAGTTATGCTATTCATCTCCTAACCAAATGGAAATCCTTGGATATTTAAGTGGTAACCTTTTGAACATAAAATGTATCTATTGCTAATGAAACCATTATAAAATCATTTAAATTTGAATATATAACTAAGATTATTTTTTTTAAAGGTACAAAGAGGAATTGACTTAAAATTATTGGTAAGATAAATGTAATCTTGAGAAATCCCAAAAGGCCCTTATGTTTTATAACCTAAAATATAAAATTTTGAAGGTCTAAAGAGAAGAATACCATGACAAAAAAGTGCTTAGAATGTGATACTGCAGCTTGCTGGTCCCATCTGGTGGCAACTATGATGGAAGCAAGAGTTCACCAAGCTGGTTATTAATTAGCAAAGTTAAGCATTTCCTAGGATAGCCATAAACTGCCCATTTTCATCATGTAGTTGAATTCTTATCTAAGTGCTGATCCTTACCTTCCATAAAATGACTATTCAGCTACTTGTTATTAATTCTAACTAATACATATCAATGTTTGTGATTTTGATTTTTCCCAAAAAGGAGACACTTCAACTCAATTAAACAAATATTTATTAATTCTTGCACTGGATTAGTTATTATGGGCAATAATAAGATGAATGAATGAAGGAATAAGTTAGATACTCTACCATACGAGCTTGCAGTATAATGGAGATACAGATACAGACACATAACTAATATAAGTAAGGTAGGGTATGATGAATCCTAAAATAGGGATATGAATTGTTACTGGAGTACTAGAGGGAGCAATATTAGTTTTCATGAGGAGAATCTGGAAAAAGTGTCAAGGAAAGGAAAAAAATTCATCTAAATCTAGCTATGAATTAATTGCAAGGGATGAAGGGGGCAGTCAACAAACAGAACTAGGTGAGCAGAGAAACTTGTATGATAAAAGTGCAAAAGTGTAGGATTCTGGGATGTGTTTAGGTACTAGTACTCTGATATGCCTAAACAAAAATAATTTTATAATGCATTTAGGGGTGACAGATAGAGTTACACATAGCAACATTTTGGAGTTAGAGACCCTTTTGAGACTATTGTAATACAGAATTTTGCCTTACCCCAGAAGTTTTTGAACACACATTTAAAAATCAATAGGAAGTTTGAGAACTCATTTTCCAAATACTCATTTTTACATTATTTTTGAACAGATGCCTTTTTGGAAATCTTAAAAAAACAAACATTTCAAACAGTTGGCTAACACGCATGAACTAACACTCATTCAGTTTTTAAATTACGGATAATATCCGTATTAACATTATAATGACTCTGTACTACAGATTGACATGGTACATCGTAACAACTCCGAAGGATTCTTCTTTGATGCATCTCGACACATCCTTGAAGCACCTCAACATGGACTGGAGAGGAGGCACTTGGAAGCAAATCATAATGTACACTAAATAAAACACTCAACTTTGGGGGTGTGGATGAAAGAGGGGCTCCATTTAAAAAGTTTTTTCAAATTGAGTTTTCCTCCCTGATTAGATCAGCAAATAAATGAAATTGATTAAAAGAATGTTCTGCTGTTAGTGGCTATACTATTCAGGGTAGAAACTTTAAATCTGTTATTAATTCTTTGTATTGTATCATATACAGCCTGTTAGGTAATTGTAACTTTTAAGGGTTGTTTTAGCCCAGCTTTCCATTTATTTGCTATTGTTGGCTCTTGCTGCAATTTTTGTTGCTGCAAAGCCATCATTCTATTTCTGGACATCAAAGATATTTTCTTGGCATCAATTTTAACCTGATTTTTAAAAAATTTTGGTCCAACTATTAAATGAAATGTTTTAAATGAAAATTCGGGTTTTTGATAGTTTATAGTTCTTTAGTTTGAGTTCACAAAATAAAAATGCCTTTGTTCAGTTGTTATGGTTAAGTATAATAGTGCTCTCTCCATTGGGTCTTAACTGTTCTTTTGGTTGTTTTTTTTTTTTTTAACTCAGTTGTGGCAGGTTTTTATTGTGTAAAGTAGAGATAAACCGAGACAAAAAGAAATGAAGGGTATTTCAAGACAGTTCAAGGATTATATTGTTGATGCTTCTTGCCTTCAAGACAGTTTTAAAAGCACAAGTCTTGCCTTTTGTGCCCATTAAAAGATCTATGATACTTCTCTAAAGATTTTATAGTTAATAAGTGACCCATTCACTGGGCCTATAAAAATACTGTTCTATTTGAAGTACTGGGTTTTTTCTTGTGACGATCTTGTTAGAACAGACTCTGTCTTGAAAAAAATTGGTATAATCTTGTTTTCTTCCATTTTAAAGGCAAAGAATTAATTGCTTCCTATGTAGTTTTTTTTAACCTAGGTCAGTGCTGTTTCATAAATTGAGAAAGCTGTTGATATTCAAAATTTTTACTCATTACCGTTATTCAGTTTGCTGCTGCAATTATGTGTACTTACTTGCTTTTAAACATTATGCTCCCTTTACTGTGGGAAGGATTTTAATGATTTTTTAACTGTTGCATAATATGACAAATATTTGTCTTGATGTCATTCTTGCTACCATAAGCTAATCCAGGGGTGTCCAATAGAACTTTCTGAAATGATGGAAATGTTCTTTATCTTTGTTGTTCAGTATAGAAGACACTAGTCATACCTGTGGCTATTGAGAACTTGCAGTGTCACTGTTGCGTCTGAGGGACTGACTTGTTCATCTTTTTAAATGTATTTTATTTTAATCAATTTAAATAGCATTGTATTGGACAGCACAGATTAGTCTTTTATTTTGCCTTTTTCCTAAGTACTAGCATTGTATAGGTTTCCCCATTAAAATAAAATAAGGGCCTGCAGTTTTGCTGGTTAAGAAGATATTAAATGTGGTTTGTCAAAGATATTCCTATTTTTTTCCTCCATTGTTTCTTCCAATTTACTAGTTTTGTGGGTTATGGGGGTCCTGTTCAAATCCTTTTTACAAAGAAAGAGTATTCTGTGTATAACTATTTTAGAGACAATGTTTATTTGGGAAGTTATTCACTTTTATATTTGTTTTGGCATTAATATAATAAAATAACCCTTGATTGCCATTGAATAATGATCTGTAGCAGCTGTTTATTGAGAAAAATTATTCTGAAGTTTCTGTTGATTTTAAACCTATTATGTCTGTCTCTTTCACTAGACTGGTCTTTCAGATCTGGAAACATGTCTTAACAGGTTTTGTATTCCTGTTGCCTAGCACAGTGGCTGGCACATCATAGATGTGCAAATAATAGGAGAATGAGATAGAAGAATTTATGCTACTTGCTGTGCCTAACAAATGTGCATGTCTATATTATACTGATGTTAGATTTTCAGCAGTTGGCAAAGAAGGCCATTTAATATTTTATTTTATTTATTTATTTTTTTTTAAGATGACCAGTAAGGGGATCTTAACCCTTGACTTGGTGTTGTCAGCACCACGCTCACCCAGTGAGCTAACTGGCCATCCCTATATAGGATCTGAACCCGTGGCCTTGGTGTTATCAGCACCACACTCTCCCGAGTGAGCCACAGGCCGGCCCAGCCATTTAATATTTTAATACCTAAAAGCAGAATTCTGTTCATTTTACTCAATATCTATTATGTACCAAACACTAAATAATAGGCAGATATCAACAAGACAAAATTCCTGTTCTCAAGGAAGATTATGATCTAGAAAGAGTTTCTAGATTGGATTGAGATCAATTTATAAGCATGGATAATAAAGTTTTGTAAATCATGAATACTTCAGGGAAGAAAAGAGATTGAATGTGTCAACAATTTTTATTTTTACCATTACTTTGACCAATATAGTATGTGTAGGTGCAAAAAAAAAAGTTGTTGATTATTGCCGTGAGAGTAATGTGAAATATGAGTAATTTTCTTGCTACTGGGTTTAGTTATATTATGCTGCTCTCCTTAATTCTAGTCCTAACTGAATCTGATTTCAAAAGTACATTCACGTGAGAGTAATGTGAAATATGAGTAATTTTCTTGCTACTGGGTTTAGTTATATTATGCTGCTTCTCCTTAATTCTAGTCCTAACTGAATCTGATTTCAAAAGTACATTCATGGTCAACTGACTTTGTTGTGAATCAATATACTACATTCATGTTGTGTGGCAATGCAGATTTTAAAAAAAGGAGAGGATCCAAAAATAAAAATAATGAAGTATTTTACTGATTTCCAACTCCATTCCTTTTTTTCCAGGAATTACAAGCACATGTTGACCAGATAACTGAAATGGCAGCAGTAATGAGGAAAGCCATTGAAATTGACGAACAACAGGGTTGCAAGGAACAGGAACGAATATTTCAACTTGAGGTAAGTTTTACTTCATTTAATTTTTATTTTTTGGATGGCTGGCCTATATGGGGATCCAAACCCTTAATTGAAGTAAGTTTTAAATTGCAAATGTAGGTGAAAACTGTCCATACGAAGATTTATACCAAAAAATATGTCCCATTTATAAGTATGTATGTATACTTTTCTGGGGTACTGGTAATGTTCTTAATCTGGATGCTGGTTTACATGGGTGTATGATGCAAGACCATTTATAATACAAGAATCTAGGATCATTAGTAATTAATAATATACCAATAATTGAGAATAATGGTTTTTGATACTATATTGCTTATCTTAGTAAGTGAATGAACTTCTTCAATTTAGTAATTTTTAAAAATTTGTTCATTCTATTAGAGATCACAGTGATGCAGGGAAATATTTTTTAATCCACAAATAATATTTTAGGGGGCACTTTTCTGGGGACTGTAAAAGCCTTTGTCTCATCTGACCTTTATTTTGTGATAGCAAAAGTTCAAGTCATTGTAATTGTTGAATAACTCAAATCAGTAGAATAGACTTTCATACTTAAAAGCTTCATTTTAAAATCATGGTGCTAAAATTGGTTATAGAGGGCCAAAAACGATTTCTCTCTCGGAGCATACAGTGTACATGCATTCATTTAACAGGAGTTAACAGACTTTTTCAGTAAAGGTTCAGGGAGTAAATATGTCAGACTTCCCAAACTAGATAGTTTGCACCTACTACTCAACTTTGACTTTGTAATGCAAAAGCAGCCATAGACAAAAAATAATAATAATGATGATAATAACAACAACAACATATATAGAGAGAGATTGAAACTAGGAATGGCTATGTCCCAATTAAACTTAACTTACAAAAACAGGCCTTAGGCCAGGCCGTAGTTTGCTAATCCCTGCCTTATACCATTGAAACTTAGAAATTGAGACTGAAGACAAAGTAGTAGAGAATAAACTATGAAAGGTTAATTTTAAATGTCCACAAATATCCTATAATATCTAAGCTAGAGGAGAAAAAGCAAAGGCAAAGTTGTTTTCCAGTGCCGGATTTGGTCACTTACTTTCCTTTTCAAAAAATATAATCTACTCAGCCAGCCCTGCTGCTCTCAAATTTCAGTGAGGGAAGCAAACCAGATGACTTGTACTGTATTCCATGCTATCGTTGAAAGTAATAAAAGTACTAAAGTACTAAGAGGTTCTAGTCCAAGGCTATTATTCAGTGGATTTATGAGTTTATATAGATGTAAATCTAGATGTTATTTCTTTCGTCTCTAATGTGATTGTAAAATAAGGCAGTTTCTGAGTTTCCGTTTACAGTTACAGCAGCATGAATAAGAAGGCTTTGCAGTGGTAGAAGATATTGAACACACGATTTCTACCTCTTTAAAAAAGTGTTCTTTCAATTCAAATTGTCAACTGCATATAGCATTTAGTACAGTTATGCCAGTTATAGAACTAGCTTTTTATTTGTTATACCTTCATATGTTTGGTTTGTCTTAATACGTGTTTGCACTCTTGTAGCTACCTTATAGATGGTGACTGCATCTTTGTTTTTGCTTACCTTCTTATAGCAAGAAAACAAAGGCTTGAGAGAGATCCTTCAAATAACTCGAGAATCATTTTTGAACCTTAGGAAAGATGATGCATCAGAAAGTACATCTTTGTCAGCATTAGTGACCAATAGTGACCTGAGTCTGAGGAAGAGCTGAAGAGCTTCCAAATCTGTAAATTTACATGGCTCCAGATGGTCACTAGGACTGGCCTATGATTGAATGAATGAATGAACAGAAAACTCAATCCTTTATTTTTTTTTTTCCTCTGTAATATGTACAGTGCACTGGCTAAGAGATAGCAACAACAACAAAAAATGTATTGTTAATGGTCATAGACTTTATTCCAAAACAAAACTGAAAAGTAGAACTGCGCCATTGTTAATTGGTGAACAAATGAAAGGTTTTCACAGTGATTGCTGAACATATCAAGAGCTTTCAGCAGTGCCGTTAGTTTTCTAGATGATAAAGTTGAATATTCCCAATAAATATTTGGGAATTCATAGAATGAATTATCCCAACTTCAAAATATAAATTTTGCCACTTTGGTGAGTGGAGGATCCTCATACTAAATTTTATCCTTCCTGTTTGGTGTCAGAGTTAACAAATAGCATATGTACTTTGAGACGTCAGCTTTAGTGATTGCCTGTCTAATTTCCCATTAATTTAAATTTTTGTCAAAGAAAATTCAGTTTTTAAGGCTGTAGGAATGTTTTATATGCACCAAAAACAAAACAGGTAATTTAATTTGAGCTAATTTACCATAACTGATACTTAGCTAACAATTGTCCATTACTTGCTTAAGTGTATGAAATATCATTTCAGGAATGAAAGAGAAGGAATACTTTCTAAGAAAGAAGATCTCAGACATTTAGTAGGTTAAACTACTCCTTTGAAAGAATAAGTTTTGGTTCGAAGTCAATAATGAAGATGAGATTTTTCTCTTCTCTGATCTGTAGGATATTATGTAGTTCATTTAGCTAACAGAGTTGAAACGTTTGGTATATAGCAAGATAAGTGTGGTAATTTCAAAGTAAATAGGGAATTCCTCTGGCTCATAGAAGCCTTTTTTTTTTTTTTTAAAGAAGTAATTACGCTTGAGATACAGAAATCGTAAATTAAAATTTCAAAAAAAAAAATTCTGGATACATTTTTAAGCTCTATCTGGCCCTCATAACTTGCAAGATTTTCTTTATGACCTTTCAGTTAGAAGGGAGAGAAAAAAATCTATGGATTTAAAAGTATTTGTTTTCTTTTAAAAAATATCAAGTATACAGTATGTAAATTTTTGAAAAGCCACTAGATAACAGAAATATACTTTAACAGTAGTTGAAACCTAAGTTTTTCTTATTCTGTGGTGATTATAGAATAAAAGGGTAAAAGAAGTGTCAAATATGATTAAATGTATTATACTCACTTATATCAAATGTATTAAAATTAGCACAAGTAGAAAATTCTATTGAGTATGTAATTTGTTAAAGAAATATTACTTCATGTGGTAATTTTTATGTGTAATTTCATATACTGGTAAAATTCAAAACTGCTTTTCACTTCAGAATTTTTCTATCTTGTGTTTGGGATGAATGGGATGGACAGGACTATTTGAATAGAAAAGGGCTAATGGCCCAAACATTAAATAGATTTCTTTTCTCATTCAGAGGCCTTAATTGATATTTTATAAGTAAATGATAGTTTTTATTCTTTAAACTTTCTGTTGGTTTGGGGGAAAGTATCCCTTAATTTAATGGCACATTCATTCAAATAGTTTTTATCCCAAGTAAGAATTAAAGAAAGAAAATAAGCTACACAGTTGAGATTAAATCTAAGGCAATTCACTGAGGCAGCTGTATTATAAAACATTACTTGATAAATAATTATTTTTGTAAGCAAATAAGTTAATTTATTCTTGTCTTCTTGCTTAGATATAATTTTAAGTCTTGGTGTTTAAAGACATTTTCTTTGTTTTTTAGTGAGTTTTCCATCCTTTTTTTTTTTTTTTTTTAACAAAACTTTATGTCTGAGTGTATGTACTGCATAGGAGCCTGTTTTATCAATAAAGATGAGTGATTAAAATTGGTATGATCTCTAATTTAATCCTACCATTTCTCACTGTCTCCACTGCTACCCCTAGTCAAAAGCCAACTATGTAAAAATCAGATGCATGGAGGAAATATCCAGAAGCAAATAACATGTTATACTTCTAACTAATTCTGTTGTTTACATTACGATCGTCAGTAATGTACCAAAGCACTTTGTAACTACCATTGTATAAATGTGTTGTAATTTATTCATCTATTTTCGCTATTGATGGATATTCAGATTCTTTGCAAATTTTTTAAGCACAAAATAATGCTACAGCAAACATCCATATACATATCTTTATGTACTATAATTTCTAGTATATAAATTACCAGAAATTTGATAGGTCATGTTCACTTTTATCATTTATTTTTTAAATGAAGAAAAAAATGTACATAGTGAAAAATCCATCATATCAAATAATATACAATTCAGAGTAAGTCAACCTCTTCCTACAACCTGTCTTCCCAGAGGTCTTACAAGTTTCTTATGAATCAGAAAACCTACATGTAAACATATGCTTTTAAATATATATGTACACATACTTGGAATGTATGTGCACCTTGGTTCTTTACCTTGGTTTTTTTGTTTTTAAGTTAATGATGTCCCTGCAAATGTTTTTCCATTTGAGCAAAAAGAAAAGAGTAAAATCACTGTTTTAGAGGAACCAAAGCCTTCAGAAAACTCTGTATATGGAAACCAATATCAATAGATAGATTATAACCAGAATAAAATATACTAATCTTGAAACACAGAATATACTTCTTGAGCATCAGACACTGAGAGGAAGACTACATTTGGGCTTTCTATAAAACTACAAAGAATAAGCTGGTTAGAATCAGTGTTCCCTAAGAGATTAGTTCCTATCATGGCTGGGCATAACCCCAAGCCTCAGCACATTGCTTTTGTTTGTATATACAGTTGAAGATGAATAGGGCTGACCCTTGACTACTTTAAAATGCAGGTGATATGTCAGTTTCTGGTCTCAAATTTCAGCACCACTGTGTGGTCAAGTGCATGGTGCTATCAAATCAAAGACTGATGTGAGATCAAGTTATTTTCCCCTTGCGTGAATGAGTTTTTCAAATGTTAACTTTCTCTAAAACGTTCACTTTAAGACCTAACGCAATGAACACTATAAGGTTTTTGTTACTAGTTCATGCAACATAAAAAGGTAAAAACATCATTTGAGTAGGAAGAAAATCACTGGTATACTATTGAAGGAATTCAGTAGGGAGAGCTGGTTTAGAAGGAAAGTTGAATAGTTCCACTTGTGGAATGGAAGACTGTCCTGTGTTGAAAAAACTTCCAGCATTAATAAGCAAGGTAAGAGATTTTTTTCATAAAAAGGAAGCCTTCAACCATGTCCCTGAAATTACTCCTCCAGAACCATGGGCCTAGCCCTGACAATACTTATATTTTAGTTGTTTTAAGGAATTTTGATAAATGGGTGGTCTCCTTTCCCAAATGGGTTTATTTCAAAATGGAGTCAAGGCCTTGTTCAATTGCTGAAAACATAGCCCATGGAGAACTGGGTTGGAAAGGCACACTCATCAGTATGTCTCACTTCTTCCCGCTGCACTTGTTATCTGATCCTCTGCCCCCCCTTTGCTCAAAGCTCTCAGTACGGGCATCCATGTTCTTCCCAGTGTGCCCAGTAAGAGTTCAGGCAGGTCAACACACATGCAAGCAAGTCTAAGCAACAGGGAACCTGTTAGCAAGAGGACCCATGAACTTCACATGACACAGAATAAGCCTTTACTCCTTGAAAACTCCAAAGTGAAAAGGTAAATTAATTATAGCCATTTAATCTTCCAAGGGAAGGAATTCACCCCGGAGCAAGACAGTTGGGTATATGTACAGGACTCGAATAGAAGAAATGACTTTGAGGACCACAGCTTGTGGGTCTTGCATTTTGACCCACCTTCCAGAGAACAACCACTAACTTCTAGAGTCTTGGGAGGAATTGAAGCAGCAAGGTAAATAAGGCAAGGTTTGCTCTGTGCAGTTTTGTAGTGCAGTTAAAATTTAACAAGGAACTGACAACACCTTGCTCAGTGTCAGAAACAGAATGGGAGAGCTGACCCCACCAGCCACCAAAATGAAGGGCTATAATGACTGGTGGGTGTCCAAGTGAGACTCCACCAAGGGCTGTCCATAATGAGAAGAGGAGGCCCTGAGGCTTTTGTGTATGCTTCCCCCCAACTACATGGAATGCACTTAGCCTCTTTGTGGTTTGGCTACTCCTATTCACCAAGTCTCAGCTCAGATGTCACTTCCTCAAGAAATTCTTCCCTGGCATCCTAGATTCTACCCCACCCCATTATAAATTTTCATTGCATATTACTCCTCTTCTGTGTAACTTTTAAGTATAGTCATCCTTCAGTGTATGTAGGGGATTTGCTCCAGGACCTCTTGCAGATACCCAAATCTGCAGAAGCTCAAGTCCTTGATATAATATGGGGTAGTATTTGCATATAACCTATGTACATCTTCCCATATACTTTAAATCAACTCTAGATTATGTATAGTATCCAATATAGTGTAAACACCATGTAAATAGCTTGTATTGTTTAGGGAATAATGACAAGAAGAAAGTCTGTACATGTTCAGTTACAGATGCAATTTTTTTCCAAAATAGTTTTGATCCTGGGTTGATTCAATCCACAGATGGGAAAGCTACGGAGATGGAGGGACAATAATATCTGTCTCACTTATTACACCCTAAATACTGAGACCAAAGGCCATGCCTGTATTGTTTGCCGTCTACTTCCTAGTGCCCAAGGCAATGCCTGGTGCATAGGAACTCAACAAATATTGAACGAGTGAAGGTGAGAAATTGAAGTCAGACTACTATCATATTAAATGTGTACATATTTTAAAATTTTGCATCTTGTGGTGATGTAACTTGATCCAGACCTGCCAGCTTCCCCAGTGTAATGATTTCATGATAGTCCCTGGATAAGTCCAGAGTTTCCACTAACTTGAGCCTCTCTTTATGTCAATATCATAAAGAATGTCCCTCGCGAATACAGTGGCCAAGCTGCCAAGAGGCATTTTCAATCCACAGCCAGGGTAAAAGAATTTGCAAAGTGTATGAGTTTGCTAGGGATGCCATAACAAAATATCACAGACTGGGTGGCTTAAACAACAGAAGTAATTTTATTGCAGTCTTAGAGGCTGGAAGTCAGTGATCGAGGTGCAGGCAGGGTTAGTTTCAGCCTCTCTCCACTGCTTGCAGATGGCTGCTCTCTTGCTCCTTCACATGGTCTTTCCTCTGTGAGCATACGTCCCTGGTGTTTCTCTGTATGACCCGATCTCTTCTTATAAGGACACCAGTCAGATTGGATTAAGCCTGCCCTAACGGCCTCAATTTAATTTAATCACCTCTTTAAAGGCCCTGTCTCCAGATAGAATCACATTCTAAGGTACTAGGGGTTAGGGCTTCAACATACAAATGTGGAGGGGACAAAATTTAGTCCTTAACATAAAACACAGGTAGCCGCCCTCCCAACAAGGGGTGAGGCACATTCACAGGAATTCTCAGAGCCAAGAACGCTGGTTTTTAATGAATGTTACTCACACATATTAAGTATGTCATCGAGGAGTGAACTTTATACCAAAAAGTTCTATACAAATGCTTCTGTGAGATACTTATGGATATTGAAAATCTTAATTACATATTATGTAACAGTTATTTGAAATAAATAAGAAATGGTCCATAACCTCAGAGAATTAACTTGCAAAGACATGTTTTCACTAAGTAAAATTAATAATTTCCAAAAGAAGAGATCATAGCAATAAATATTAACATTAGGAACATCCTACCAATTCTCAGCAGAAGAAAATCCGTGACTTACATTTTCTTTTTTTTTTTTTTTTGTCCTTTTTGTGACCAGCCGCACTGCGCTCAGCCAGTGAGTGCATCGCACCGGCCATCCCTATATAGGATCCGAACCCACGGCGGGAGCAGGAGCTCCACTGCGCTCCCAGCACCGCACTCTCCCGAGTCCGCCACAGGGTCGGCCCTAGAATCAGTTTTCTATCCTACCTTCTACAGAAAACTCAGTGAGCCTATAGTACTATTTAGCTAGTATGGTTTGGCAGCCTGGTAGCTAACCTATAACAGGTCAATCAGAACTTTCTGAAAACATTTAAAGAACAGTATAACAGATTTTCCTTTACTACTACTACTTTTTCTTCAGTTTGACACACCTAAAGTGCTAATGACACCAACACAAATTAATCCATTTGAAGAGATCAGTTTTCCTTCTAACAATGGATATAAACTTTAACACACTATCCCAGATTTCCTTCCTTTCCTATTATTTCCATTATCCTCAAACTCATGTTTAAAACAAAGAATAAAATTATTTGTCCAGGTTAAATAATATTGTTTTTACAGCTATGAAATTTTTCTCTCATGTCTTGTTGCTGTGGTACAAGTATAATGGGTAAAAAGTTTTATTATAATAATGAGTCTTTTTAGCATTTTTTCAAAATATTTATTATAAAAATTATACAAGTTGGTTTTTTATTACTCACAAATTATCAGGAAAAATTTTAAACAATGTTTATCCTCCCTCCAAAAAAGTGTGTTCTGCCTTTACAATCTTCACTGGCAGTGCAATGATGGGACAGAATATAATTCATAAACATTCTATATAACTTCATTAGAATGTACAAAAAGATACAGAAGAAGCCAGAGTCCCTAGAGTAAATTATAAAAAAAAAAAAAATTTCATCATTTAAGTATTACTAAAGACAGTAAGGATTACAGAATAAATAGTACATGGACACCTGCATTGAATTTTTCAAAGCAAAAATGATTTGTTTTGTATTTTTTCATTGTTTTATCCTTCCCAAAACACTTTTAAAAAAAGTTGAAGATTTTTCCAGTTACCTGACTTCAAAAATCTATTGTACTTTGAAAAAAACTCTAAAAAGCAGCATCATTTAAGTAGTGGTTAACTCACAAATGTGTATACAACAGTAACTGACCTCAGTACCACTCGGGCATGTCAGAGTCACCAGCTCACAATTCAGTGCTCTAACAGTGGAGAGAAAAGGCCGTGAGTAGTAGGTATGCAGCCCAGGGCATCCAGGTGCTTTCTGGTGGTGAAACAAGGTATCAAAACTGAGGGCACTCTCCTTACAGAATCCAAGGTCCTAATTAAAAGCAGCTCCACTCAGCACCTGAATTCTTTTTAACTCCCTCTTCATCACTTTAAAACACAGATGATACAAAGGCTTCATACAAAAAAGAAACAATTAGAATTGCATTTTACACCAATGCTAGCACAGCTAATTCAGTAGAAAATAACTTATGAAGTGCAAATTTTTTAAGGTTTCCTTGTTAATGGCACTATAGATTAAGGTCGGAGTCAACTTTCCTAAAAACAAAATGATCCATATGTCATCCAATGCAATTCAAATTAAAGACTACCTGTCAACACTATTTTAAAAGGCCTTGAAAGAAAAAAAAAATATAGGTCATTATTCGGAATACAAATCATTCATATAAAATTTCTATTATCTACATAAATTGACCTATTTTCAAATAACTTAGCCATTTAAATTACCATTTTAAGCAGTAAAAGGCAAACACAAAGGAAAGCTACTGAGTTGTACACTTAAAAATGAGTAAAATAACACATTTTATGTGTATTTTACCATATTTTTAAAAATTTTAATAAAAATACTAGGACAAAAAGGTTACTTTTTTGATAATGTAGGATACTAAGACATGCAACTAAGTAATCAGACTGCTAAAGAAAAATTACTTCTCTTTTTGTATTCTGAAGTTCAAAGTCCTAGTGTCAAAATATAGTGGCAAATAAAGATTCAATTTAACACTTAAATCTCCCTCCCCAAGTTTAGAGAGACTGGGGTGAAAGAATTTTTCAAGGAGTTATAAAAAGAAACACCAGGGCTTGCAACTTGCAGGCTTCATTAAAGGAGGGAAACAAGGAAATAACTCAAAAATTCAATCAGGTTGTCATTTTCATCCCTCATTCCACCCCCACCCATAGGTGTCAAACATCTTTACTGTGAGCATTTTCCTCCCAAATAAGAACTGACAGGTAAACCTAAGTAGTCATGGCTTAGAAATTTCTCCACAAAGTTCATTTAGTAGATTTTTAGAAGCATGAACTTCATCTACCTTAAAATTGTAAATTCTTTGCTCCCATAATCATAGGGTATCATTAACAGAGGGCTCTCACAGCATCTGTATGGCATGTTTCCTCCTTTTGTCCCCAGGTGACTTTCTCTCAATCTAGTTACCGAGTGCCTCTGTTATCCTTGGTAGGTCAACACTCCCATTTGACTATCACTCTGGTTTTTGGCATCAAGAGTCTTACCATTAGTTTGAAAAGGCACATTTGTGAAAGCTCTGCGGAAATCCGTGTTGAGCGCTCGCCTGAGTACATTCAAAGTGATGTGAGAGAGGCTTGTGTAGAAGTATCTGTCAATGGCCAGGACCACCGAATAGGAGCCAATGATGCCACAAGTCAGTATGTTCAGCTGGGGAAGAGGGAAAGAGGTTAGGCATCATCCCTAGTAGAACAAGAACAGTTCCTAACTGTCATCATTGGCCTCAGTCACAGGGAATCACTTTGATCCCTCAGGGCACATGAAAAGAGATAAAATTTTAGAGCTGAATAAAGGTTACCTGAAAAGATAAACTGAAAACAACCTTCGACATCCATAGTGAGTTCTTAAACACACAGTTCAGCTTATCAAAATACTATAGAAAATATTTCCCCTGAAAAAGAACTTCAATAATAAAGTCTAATTAGATGAAGAAGCATTCTTCTGGAGAGACAGCTGAAAATAATGATCCACCAGGCTGTTGCACTGGAGAAGAAGCCCCACCTTCCCTGCTCCCACTGTTAAAAGCATACTGTCAGTGATGCTCCATTTGATGGGGGATGGAGTTTGTATGTGTTGTCCCCACAAAAACTCATGTGGAAATCTGATCTCCAATGTGGCAGTTTGGGTCATGGGGACGTGCTTCCTCTTGCCATGTGATCTGCTTGTACCCACCAGCTGCCTGTGCTTTTCACCACGATTAGAAGCAGCCTGAGGCCCACGCCAAATGCAATTGTCCCAGAATTGTAAACCAAATAAAGTTCTGTTCTTTACAAATTACCCAGTCTCAGGTAGTTCTGTTATAGCAACACAAACAGACTAATACAGAAAACTGGTGCCAGGAGTGGGGTGTTGCTATACAGATACCTGAAAATGTGGATGCAGCTTTGCAAATGGGTGTTGGGCAAAGGTCAGAGGAGTTTGGAGGACTTAGAAGAAGACAAAAAGATGAGAGAAAGTTTGGAACATTTTAGAGATTGGTTAAATGGTTGTGACCAGAATGCTGATAGAAATGTGGACAGTAAAGACCATGCAGATAATGAGGTCTCAGATAGAAATGAGGAACTTATCAGGCATTGGACAAAAGATCACCCCTGCTACACCATAGCAAGGAACTTGGCTGTATTGTGTCCATGCCCTTGGACTTTGTGGAAAGTGGGACTTAATAGTTGTGAACCAGAATGTTTGACGGAAGAAATTTCTAAGCAGCAAAGCACTAAGGAAGCTATATAGTTACTTTTAACAGCCTACTCTAAGTTATGGCAGCAAAGGCATGATGTAAAGCCAGAATTTAAAAGGGAAGCAGAGCATAAAGATCGGGAAAATTTGTAGCCCAGCCATGTGGTTCATGCAGCAGCTCTGGAGAATAGAAGCCTGAAACCTTGGTGGCGTCCACATTGTGTTAAGTCTGCAGGCTGGCAGGACATGAAAGCAGTGGAGGTGTAGCAGCCTCCACCCAGATTCCAGAGGATGTAGGGAAAGCCTGGGGGCCTAGGCAGAGACCTACCTCAGGGGTGGAGCCACTGAAGAGGCCATCTACTAGAGCAATGCCAAGCAGGAAAGTGGGGTTGGAGCTCCCATAGAGCTCAGACCAGGGAAAAGTCTAGTAAAGCCAAGGTAGCAGGGCTGCTGCAAGGACCCCAGATCTGTAAAGCCACTGGCAATGTACAACACCAGCCTGGAAAAGCCACAGGCACCAGCACTGTGCCTGGCAGAGCTGTGGAAGTGAGGCTGCCTGATGCTTTGGGGTCCCAGATGCCCCACTGTGCCCAGGATACAGGACTTAGAGTCAAAAAAGATTATTTTGGAGCTTTAAGATTTAATGTGTGTCATGCTGGGTTTCAGACTTGTTTGGGGCCTGTTACCCCTTTTTTCTGGCCTATTCCTCCCTTTTGGAATGGGAATGTGTACCCAATGTCTGTTCCACCATTGTCTCTTGGCATTAGATAAATTTAGTTTTGATTTTTACAGGTTCACAGCTAGAAGGAGTTTTGCCTTTGGTCTCAGATGAGACTTTGGACTTTTAAATTGGTGCTGGAGCAAGCTAAGACTTTTGGGACTGTTGAGATGGAATGACTGTATTTTGTATGTGAGAATGACATGAGTTTTGGGGGGCCAGGGGCAGAATGATGGAGTTTGGATGTGTTGTCCTCACCAAAACTCACGTGGAAATCTGATCTCCAATGTGGCAGTTTGGGTCATGGAGATGGATCCCTCATGAATGGATTAATGCTCTCCCTAGGTGGGGGATTAATGAGTGAGTTCTCACTCTATTAGTTCCCATGAGAACTCATTGTTTAAAAGACCCTGGCACCTCCTCTCTCTCTCTCGCTTCCTCTCGCCATGTGATCTGCTTATACTTGCCGGCTCTCTGCCGCTTTCCACCATGAGTAGAAGCAGCCTGAGGCCCGCACCAAATGCAGCTGTCCCAGAATCATAAGCCAAATAAACCTCTTTCCTTTATAAATTACCCAGTCTCAGGTATTTCTGTTATAGCAACACAAATGGACTGATAAAATGGGGAAAAAGCAAAACAGTGTGATAATCATAAATTCAACTTCCTTTGCTTTCAAAGGAAACAAGCTATCTAGAAGCAATCAGCTGACACAGATGATCATAGAGCCCTCCCTAGTGAATGAAACATGCGGAAGGATCAGTAAATGATCAGCAAAGGCCCAGGACGAGAGAGTGAATAAATCTAACTTTTGATGAAACACTTACTATTCTTAGGCAGCTCATGAAAACTACTGGAATGAGGATAGCTATACAAGAGAAGGTCACCCAGAAAACACCATCATCACGAAAAATCATTAGGTTTCCTGAAAAAGCAAAGAGAAATCAAGAATAAACAACAGGTTCACCAAGTTGAATTTCATTTTTTCAACATCTGAACCCAGACACACATCGAAGGTTTAATGTAACTATCAGGGAATATGTTGGTGACTATAATGAATTTTGATTTTCTTTATATTTTTTCAACATCTGAACCCAGACACACATCGAAGGTTTAATGTAACTATCAGGGAATATGATGGTGACTATAATGAATTTTGATTTTCTTTATTTGTCAATATAATCCTGTTTGAAGGATGTGTTCTAGAAGGGCGGGGAGGGAGGCAGCAACAGGTAGGGAAACCAAGCAGGTAAATGCTCTGCACTTACTAGCAGGATAATTTAGAAGTGGCTGGAATGGTCTAGGCTCTTCTACTCACTAGCTCTGTGACCCTGGGCCTCAGTTTCTTAACCCTTAAAATGAGATGATTGAATTATATATCATCTCCAAACTCTAAATCACCCCTTCTAGCTCTAAATTTCTATGATCCTATGATTCTGTACTACAAAATAAAAAATACAAGTAAAAGGCATTCAGAGTTAAGCTAGGAACCCAATATAAGCAGCAAAATCCACTTAACTGGTTTTTACCATCAAATCCCATCCTGCCAAGCCATGGCACACTGGCAGATGTGATTTTCTCATGCACCAGAAGAGACAGGACCTAACTAACCTCCTGCTGCTGGATTCTAAAATGCAGTACACACCTTAGGGGGACCCAGAACGAATATATGACAACAACTCTTTATAAATTAAGTTTGAAATGCGAGAATATAAGCCTGACTACTGTCTAATACTGACACTGGCACCATCATCCTGTCCATCTGTAGACAGCCCCATATCTCAAGACACACACGTCCTGGGTGGAGTGGGAGTCCCTGGGCGAGAGGATCTGACCTTGGGACCCCACAGTCTCTGAAGGCCAACGGCAACATGCTGTGGTGAGATAAATTTATGGATCATATTCTTTAGTTTAACCATATTAACCTTCACAAAATACACATGTGGCTTTTTTAAAAAGTCTTTAAAGAAATCTAGGGGTTGGAAACAGTGGTTATGATGCAGGCATGTGAAGAACAGAACCTTTCAGAGTATAAGCTCTTTGCTACCCACATAAGGTGAAAACAATAGTAATCTTGTCAGATCTGATAGGCCAGCCAAATATTTTTCAAGTTGTAATGCTCAAAAATTTGAGTTTGCACCCACCAGCATTAAGGAAATGTTCACCCTAACTGTCCTTGAGCTATAAGAAAGTTCATAAATAAACACACGTATAAAAGATGTATTCTAAAATTGTTTTTACCAGTAGGAATAGTTTGTCAAAAAGTTTAGAGACAAATGCTTTAGGCTACTTTTTTTTTTATAAACATGAAAATTAAAAGAACTTTCTGTTTATTTATATTATCTTCCTCCTCACTTCCATCCTATGAGATTGTTTTAAAGGTGATAAAACAAAGCTTTGGTACCTTGTCCATCATTATAAGCTAGTGAGCATGCTAGTGACAGAGAAAGAATGCATATAAAGGTTTTTTCTGACATTATAATGTATACTCATTCTACTCATCACAAACACATTAACTACTAGAAATTCTAACTTATCATCCCTCCACCCTTTAAGCATTAATAAAAAGGAGGGAAGCCCATTAAGTAGTATTCGATTTGGCACATCTAGGCTAGGGCCTCAAATCTGTATTTTCAACAAATAGTCTCCAAGCTATCACTGAGCTGAGTCTAAACATCACTACATTTCATCGGACTATTTTGATAAAAGGCTACCTGTAGGGAGGCCAGTGGGAATAACAAAGGGCCTTGGATAGTCAGTAAACACACAGGTTGTCAATTCTCCCTGGTTTAAAAAAAAATCTTTAGACAGCCAAAGGGCACATGAATTCCACTCTATTATATGCTGCATTCTCAAGAGTTGACAGCTTCACAAAAACAGCTGTTCTTATATCTAACATTTCCATCAACTTTAATATATTATTTCGGCCGGCCCGGTGGCGCACTGCTACAGTGCGCTGCTTGGGAGTACGGCGGCGCTCCCGCCGAGGGTTCAGATCCCACATACAGACCGGTTCCCGCTCACTGGCTGAGCGAGGGGCGGGCGCAGCACCGAGGGTTGCGATCCCGTTGCCAGTCCCGGTCTGGTACGGGCGCGACACTGAGGGTTGCGGTCCGTTGCCGGACACGAAAAAAGACAAAAAGGAAAAAAAAAAAATATATATATATATATATATTATTTCAATATAAGAACTAAACATTATCACAGAAAAGAAACAGCCTAATAGAGTACCTTGGAACGTAGACAATTTTTTTTTTTTTCATTTTGACAACAATTGGAAAATGTAAGTTATTGCACAACTGCAAAGAAAGTTAACCCACAAGTTAGCCAGATTTTTAAAAACTGATAGAAATTGAATTACTTAAAAAAAAAAAAAAAAACTATCCTGTGCTACTGCCCTAGGGGATTACAAGTAGGTACCTTAAGAACACTTGTGGCTTGGCAAAGGGTAAGAGTGGAAGTTGAGGGTACAAGAGAAGACTGGGAACTAAGCACCAGGTTCCCAACTCAGCTGACATCAGGGCAGCACCAAACTGATCTGTGAGATATGCTGGGCTTCTTTTTTTTTTTTTTTTTTTCCCTTTTTGTCTTTTTTTGTGACCGGCAATGGATCGCAACCCTCAGTGTCGCGCCCGTACCGGACTGGGACCGGCCACAGGATCGCAACCCTCCGTGTCGCGCCCGCACCTCGCTCAGCCAGTGAGCGACCGGTCTGTATGTGGGATCTGAACCCTCGGCGGGAGCGCTGCCGGCTTCCCAAGCGGCGCACTGTAGCAGTGCGCCACCGGGCCGGCCCGAGATATGCTGGGCTTCTGAGCAAGATTCACTTTAAGAAAGAGTTCCAGAGTTCAACAAAAAGTAACCACTGTTCTGCCATATATTAAGAGTCCCCTTTAACTCCATTAATTCTAACAGAAACACACACACTTTGTCACAACAAAGAGATACAAAGCTACCTGTAAAGATATTCTTTAATTCATCTAGTACAGTGTGCCTTTGAGGAAGAGAGGATTCTTACTTCTAGTGCCTTCTCTAGAAATCCCTGACGAGGCAGTATGTGAATCTAGAGAGCCCAAATCAAGTCTGTCAAACAATAAATCAAACACATCAGTTACACGTCTCCTACCCAGTGGAGTGAAGAAAGCCACTGATGAGAAGAGGAACCCCAGCACGAGTCCAACACACAACATGCAGAACAGGAGGATTCCGAAACGCCACCATGCAGCTACCAGGAAAATTCCACCAATGCTTCCGGCTACGGCTGTTAGAATCAAACGAACTGTACAAAGGGAGAAGACAAACTGTTGGACCACCAGCAGCATTTCCAACTGCATCCATCAGACACACAATACCATTGCCAGAGCCAGCCTGAGGCTTCCTGCTGCTCAGGCACACAGGGCTCAGCAGCGGTGCCAGGAAACCAGCATGGAGCAGCCCTCTCCAGACATGGAAACCAGCCAAGGAGCTAAATCTCCTGGGACTAGTGACAGGCTTGGCATGTCAATAAGTTGGGACTGAGGGAGAAAAGATGACAAGCATCCTGTTAAATGGGGTGGGGTGGGGTTGTGATGATGGTATTTGTTATAAGGTCAAGAAAATCTTAACATTTTGATTGTTGTACATTTTATATCTTCAATATATCATATAGTTGGAACACAAGATTATAATCAACATGGCCCCTCATTTCCCTAAGTACCAAGAAATTCACTATGCAGATTAAAAACCCAGAAGAGAAGGTCTGAATGAGTAGTCTAGAAAAGTTGTTTAGTGCGTGAGTGGCTCATTATTTTACAAACACAATAGGCTATCATACATGACACAGGTCACACGGTAGAAGGAAAGATGGAGTATAAATCCAGCATCTTCCTTTCTGAACACCCAATGAAACTATGTAATTTTCACTTACCATCATACTTAAGAGTTGTCAGTCTTGTAATCAGTATATAAAAGAAGAATCCCATGAAGATAAAGCCTATGAAGAATAATTCTAGTAGCAAACCACCGGGAAAGGCAAAAAGAAAAGCAAAACAAAACAAGCTATGGTTAGGTAAACTTTTTATAAATGCAGTTTAAATAACTAATCTACAAATACATGCTTAAACTCCTAGAATTTACACATTACAACATTCAGAGAAGAAAAATACGAGGGTACTTCAAAGTTCATGGAAAGTTTAGTACTATCTTTCAATTCTATTTTTCTATATAATTTTTTTTTTTTTTTTTTTTTTTTTTGCAGCTAGCCAGCACAGGGATCGAACCCTGGACCTTGGTATTGTCAGCACCACGCTCTAACCAATTGAGCGGACTGGCCAGCCCTCTATGAACTTTTTGAAGTATCCTTGTGATTATCTAAAACATAAGAGAAGTTTAGAGGTCATTTGCAGTAAATTATTATTATATTAAATGAATACAATACTAAAATATTAACTACAAGATACAGTTTCTTGTATATAGGTCAATTTCAATTATTAAATTGTTACCTGTTAATTTCATAATACATTTATATTTTCTACTTAAAATAAGAATAGTACTTTTGTCATTTATGTCTGTCCTGAAATTACATGCTAAATTTCAGTAGTAACATAAACAAAATAAATTTTGAATGGTGAAAAAGTATAACAAAGTATTCCAAGCAAAAGTGACTTCTATGTCTTCTTTTAATTCATCTTTTCCTATTTAAAATGAACAATCATTGTCTGCATCCGTTAAAATATCTGGTAGTGCAAGCATACAGATAACTGTGTTTTCCACAAATAAACATAACCCTGATTATGGAGGACACCTATTTTCTTAAATTCTTCTCAGTTTTTATTGGTAATATTGTACTGTATCTCAATTTCAATATATATAAAATGATATACATCAACATAAAACAAAACAAAAAAAGCTAGTAATCTTGGAGACTATGCCCATAGCTCAGCAATTAAACTGTTAAAGAATCATTCTACACTTGGAGAGATTAAATGTTCTTTGCAATGTTGTCCTCTCAATTAGTCAAGAAAGAAAGTGTTGTAATGGAGGAAATGGAGTAGCTATTTCACACAATTTATTAAAAAGCAAGTTTAAAAAGCTTTATTAAATCAGGATTATACACACTATACCCTTGATGCTCAGTTATACACCTTGTTGATTAAATAAAAACATTTTAAGTAATTGAAAACATCAATTACATAAAAAGCAGCCCAAAGAAATCAAACCAATTTAGTGTGCATACTTTATATTCCACTCCCCCACTGTTTTGCTGATGTGGATTCTGAAGTTCCCTTAGGCGTCTGAACCTCCCAGGACTGAGCAGACATTTCAATTTCACTGTGCACTGCAGCCCCTCAGGCTGATTCATGCGAAACCAAGTCAATCACCATCATCAAAATCCACACATACTTTTTACAGAGACGCCCTGATTTCTAATCTCAGTTATCCTTAGTCAACTAGCAGATATGGAAATTGAAAAAGTTTGCTGAACAAACCAAATTTTATTCCCCTTTTTAATTACAGAAGGTTGCACTCCACTGTTGAGAGGAGAGGAAAAAATTAAAATGCAGAGCAAATCAGTAGAATCATTACCAAAAGAACCCAGCCACAAATCTGTGAAGACAGTGGAGATAAGTGCTTACTCTCCTTACAAGTCATAACTTCCCCAGCAGCATTTAAGAGAAAAGACCACAAGGCATGTAAATAGCAACTACATCAGGCTAATACCTGTTTTCCAGAATCTGTGTCCAAAGAAACAAATAAAGAGACCAAGCAGGGCAAAAAGAGTGAAGAACACTTTGGTGGATACTCTTCCTAAAAAAAGAATGAAAATGTTGTGGATAACATAACCAATTTGATACTTTGTACTTAATTAATAGAACAAGGCTTCACGAAAAAAGCAGTGAACTGACAATGATTTATTCCATACATGAATATTAAAAATGTATCCTAAAAATACCCTTGTTGCCCCTAATGAATTAATCTATGTAGGCAATGAACACCAATGGCTGCTGCTATTAAAAAAAAAAAAGAGAAACCAGACAATATATGCTCATTGAAAGAAGTGTGCAACCCCAGCTGCGACACCTTCTTGGGGGGAGGGGAGGAAGAGAAAACAGAACATGCCTAAAACAGTTTCTTCAAGAAAAAAGGGAGAGTAGGAACTATGGATTAAAAGAGATTTAAGAGACACATCAACTAAATACAATGTATAGAGCTCATCTGAAAGCTGATTTGCACAAACTATGCAAAACTACTGAGATAATTGTGGAAATATAAATGCTGACTGTTAATTAGGTGCTATTACGTAACTATTTTCCATATTTTTAATTGAAAATTGTGTTAGTGATACTGTGGCTATAGTTTAAGATATACATACTGAAATATTTGTGAGTAAAATGACCAGGGATTTGCTTTAAAAGAATCCAGTGAGAAAAGAGGGTGGGAGGCAGAGAGGCAGTGGGAGAAAAGCTGAAACAAGACAATGGCCATGACTCAAAATTGGTAAAGCTGGATAATTGGCATACGGAAGCTCACCGAAGCTTTCCACAATAAAAAATGCAAACCGAAACACATTAAAATAAAAGAACATGTATTATACTATAAGTCAGACATGTACAAATTACTATAAATCTTATCAATTATACATATGACTTTGGGGAAAAAGATTGCATTATAACCAACAATAAAGCACAACATACTTCACGATGTCAAAGAACCCCTGCTCCATGATCCTTAATAGGTACAAACTTAAATATAAATACCACATCTACTCAAAAGATACAGCGTATTGAAGAGAAAAATCTGCTCACTAAATTCACTACCACCATGACTTCTTCAAGGTAAACACAAGAAAATAACCCCTGAACTAAAAACAAAACAGAAATACAATCTCATGTGAAAAATGTTACAAGCCTGCCACAAATCAAAACACAACAAGATGCTTAAGAGTGCTTAGATGGAGATACCAGGAAGACAAACATTTAAACAAGAAAAACAAGACAGAAGACAAGGATTTGTAGGGCATAATATATATACCTACACATCAGCTTTTCCGAGAATGAGGAGCCCAAAAGAAAGATTAAACGAAAGATAAAAACTCCACATTCTGCTTATTTCAGACCTGTGGTTGGTTGTTGTTCTAGATTTAATTTCATACCAAAAAAAGATGGATGATTTTTTTTTAATGAAAATCTGGTGGAAGTTTCTAGCAAGTACAATTACCAAGATAGCACATTCTTCCAACCCAATAAAAACTAACACAGTTAGATATTCTTCCATGACATCAGAAAGGAACTATACAGAATCCTGTATCACAGTATCAGGATAGACAGATGATAGAAGTAAAATCAGACAGTGGGGAAGGTGGATATATCCTCCCTACTTCAAGCTCAGGAAAAGCACTCATCAAGCTTGAAAATGAAAGTTAACAATAGGACCAAGATTACTAGGAAGGTTCAGCTTTGGGCTGAAAGAACAGCTGATCAGAGCTCTCAGCCTCCTAAGCCTGACAAGGTAAGACAGAGCCAGGAGCTTTCTGATCAGGAGGGGCTCTGGCGTGAAGAGTTCAATGGGAGGGAATGAAGGAACTGAGTCAGGATGCAGTCTATCAGTTAAAATACAGAACTATCTGCCTGGCCTCTTGCAGTGTACATCTCAAGGATCTCATGCATGGGTGGCAGTGGGAGACTGGGTGGTGACAAAGAGCCTTTGCTTGACCAAACTTCAGTCAGGTTCCTGAACCCTCCTAGGCCCATCTGCACACATCCTTGTAAAATCCAGTTTCAGCAAGAACTCTGATAAGTCAGTTTAACTAGAACCCTCCACCCTCAATATCTGATCACTCTCCATCTCTATCAGGCTCCTCATCCTCTACCACCCCCCAGGTGATGTCTGGTCACCCTGGCCTGTCTTCAACAAGAGTCCTGTTACATCGGTTTAGGTAGAATCCCCCTTATTCTCTTAGTAATTTTTCATCCACTGACCTCCACCCAGATCCTTGGCTATAAATTCCCACTTGCCCATTGCTGTACTCAGAGTTGAGCCACATCTCTCTCCTCTACTGCAAAATGCCATCGCAGTGGTCCCTACACCTATTCAATAGCCCCCCATCCCTCAACCCTGACTGAATAAAGTCTTGCTCACCATGCTTTAACCAGTGTCACTGAATTCTTTTTTCTTTAACAATGGGATATGGCCCTAGCAGAGGGAGAAGGGAACCCTAATTCCTGGCTCAAACACAACCAACGTATTTTATTCTTTAGAGCAAAACTCTTTGAAAGCACTCTCCAATTTCCATCCAATTTGAACTCTCTCCAATTTGAATTTTCTCCAATTTCTGTTCTCCTATTTGTTCTTTTTTTTTTTTTTTTTTTGTCTTTTTCGTGACCAGTAAGGAGATCGCAACCCTTGGTGCGGTGTCGCCCGCACCACGCTCAGCCAGTGAGCGTACTGGCCATTCCTATATAGAATCCGAACCCGCGGCAGGAGCGTCACTGCGCTCCCAGCACTGCACTCTCCCGAGTGTGCCACGGGGTTGGCCCGTCCTCCTATTTGTTCTTGAACAAACTCTAGTCAGGCTCTTACCCCACAGCTCCACTGGAACAGCTCTCACTCACCGATTGCCTCCATGTTGCTAAGTCCAGTGGTCATCTTTCAGTCTCTTTCTTAGCTGACCTGTCAGCAGCAGCTGACACAGTTGACCACTTTCTCTTACCATTCTGGCTGCTCCAGCTGCCCCTCAGCCTCCTTGGTGGGATCTTCTTCAATCTCCCGAGCTCTGAACACTGGAGCACCCAGAGCTCAGTCCTTAGACCCCCTCCCACTTCCACATAGTCACTCCACAGATGATACCATCCAGACCATCGTATTAAATGCCATATATTTAATCTGGTGACTTTCAAGATAATCTCCAGCCCAGACCTTTCCCCTGAATTCTAGGCTTATACATCTAACCACCTGTCAATTTAACATCTCCATGTGAATGCTTCACAGGGTTCTCAAACTAAGTATGTCTGAAACTGAACTCTTGATATGTCCTCCCAAACCTTCTCCTCTGACAGTCTTTCCCACCTCAGTGAACAGTGGCTCTGTCGCTCTAGTTTCTCAGGCCAAAACCAGCAGTCATCCTTTACACCTCCTTCTCTCAAACCCCTCATCCAATCTGCTGGCATACCCTATTTCAAAATATATTAAGTCACTCATTGGTCAAATCTGGGATAATTTGAACATGAAAGTAAACAATGATAGTAATGGATTATAATCCAGAGAATAAAATAATAATCTATGGGTCCATGCTTATATAAATAAATACATGGATAAATAAAAGAGAAGAGAAAACTCCTCCTTACAGTACAATGCTAACTAATAAACACAGAATGAATGATAAAATATAAAAACACTACGTGGCAACCACCTAGTAATATATGTTTCAGGCAAAGATCACCAGACGCTAAAACTAGCAAGTGAGAGTTTGAAAATGGGATACCTACAGACACTCAAACACTATCTCCCCAAAACATGCATAATTTAAAGGGGAAAATAGTCACTTCACAGTGGAGAAACCTGGCAGACACCACTACCCAAGCAATCAAGGTTATCACCACCAGTAAAGGGACAAATAGTTACCAAATGCTTCCAGAGAAGGATACAACCTCTCATCCTTAGTATTCCTGCTGAAAATGCAAAATTTGAATTTAATCTTGAGGAAACATCAAACTAACCCAAACTGAGGACACTGTAAAAAAACAAATAGCAGTCCTCAAAAGACTGAGGTCTTGAGAGAGAAAAACAGACTGAGGAGTTGTTTCAAATCACAGGAGACTAAAGACACATGTCAGTTAAACACAATGTGGAATCCTGACAGGAAAAAAAAATTTTTTTTTTGCCTATAAAAAGCAGTAGAACAACTAGTGAAATTTGATAATACCTGCAGATTAAATCACAATACTATAAAGACACATGTCAGTTAAACACAATGTGGAATCCTGACAGGAAAAAAAAATTTTTTTTTTTTACCTATAAACAGCAGTAGAACAACTAGTGAAATTTGATAATACCTGCAGATTAAATCACAATACTGTATCAATGTTAATTTTGTGATTTTGATAATCTACTGTTCTGTAAGGATATAAACACATGCATTTAAGGGCAAAAAGCTCTGTATGTCTATACTTACTCTCAAATAGTTTAGAGAAAAAAAGTACTGTGTGTGTATATATATGTATAGTATTTATAGAAAGAGAGAGAAGGAAGGAGAGAGGGAGAGAGAAAAAATGAAAAGGGACACCGTACATTAACTAACATTGGAGGCATCTGGGTGAAGATGACGCAGAAATTATTATTTTTTTGTATGGTTTTTTCCTAGAAATTCTTGATACTATTTTTGCATCTTTTCTGTGAAACTATTTCAAAACAAAATGTTAAATGCACACACGCACTGATCTGTCAACCCCTTCGTGGCCACCATTCTACCTAAACCACCGTCCCCTCTCACCTGGAGTACTTCAGTGGCCCCCTCACCAATCTCCCTTTTTCTGCTCTTGCCCCCACCCCTGCCCATCTTTTCTCAAAAAGTAGCCAGCGATCCCCTTAAAATATAAGTCAGACCATGGTGCTGTGTGCAAAACCTTCCAATGCCTTTCCATTTATTCAGAATAAAAGCTAAAGCCCTGTGACCCGGCCTCACCTCTCCACCTCTTTTCCTCCAGCCGGGGCAGATCTCCCAAGGCCCGGGCAGGCTCCCAGTTGGCCCAGCACGCAGCATCCCCCGACATGTGCCTGGCTCCCTGCCTCACCCAGGCTTTCACTCACACGTGGCCTTCTCAGCAAGCGCTGCCCTGGCTGTGCTACTTCAAATTTTCTCTCCCCTCCACCTGTTATCTCCCTTTCCTCCTTCATTTCTCTTCTTAGTACTCATCACTTTCTCATGTACTTTATATTTGATAAGTTTATCTTGTCTTTCTTGTCTCCCCCACTAAAATACAAGCTCCAGGAGGGCAAGTATTCTGGCTGTTTTGTCCACTGCTATATACTAACACCTAGAATGGAGAATGCAATAAGGTAGGGGCTCAAAAGGTTCTTGAGACAGGCTGGTGGAGGGCTCACCTGGGCCAGCGTGGTGCTGATAATATCAAGGGCACAGGTTTGGATCCCCATACCGACCAGATGCCAAAAAAAAGTATTTGCAGAATGAATGAATGAAACTAGACAGAAGCATTTTAAAGTACTCTTAGGCTCTATACTAGCTGATATAGATCTGCAAAGCCAAAGAAGAATTTGTCAAAGTTTAAATCCATATACTCACCAGGGGAGGCACAATTACCCTCCATTGCCTTAAAGCTGCAAGCATATGTGTGAGCAGGAACGTAAGCAGCAGATGTATTTAGAAATGGGTCCCGAACAATGACATTATAAATGACACCTTGTCCCCAGAGGGAGGAGAAGGAAACACTTGTCTTATCATTAGCTGTTAGGGTAACCACCTGAAGCCAAAAATAATGCGTGATTAGTGTTTAGTTAAAAAAACCTGTTCTATCATAATCCCACCTACATGTAATATTAAATCATAATTCTTGTTTAAAATATACACCAACCCATTAGGCTTGGTCAAAAGACCACCCTACACAGTTTACATGTGCTAATACAAACAAGCTCTTATAAAAAATACTTCCAAAGTTTTTGTATAGTGTTAAAATGTTAATAGTTTAAGTAAAATATGATATAAATAATGTACGAAAAAGTAAAAATAATGTGGCAAAGTAAACGAATTTTCTCATCTGCCAGACTTTTATAAAGAACTAAGGGCAGGGATCATGTTTATCTTGCTCATCTCTCTCTCCTCAGCACTGTGCACAATGCCAAGTGCAGCGCGAATGTTCCACTGATGTTAGCTATTAGTACTCGCTTAGAGCTGACGTAGACAAAGCGTGTTAACATCTCAGACACAGGACCCACTTACTTCTGCCTAACAGGCTCTGAAATAAGAAAACGCTACGTATACTTTTGTTATGTAGCAGTCCTTAACTTCAAAATTTCCCTTTTAAATTACATAATAAAAGAAACAGGGCCACAATAATCAACCACATTGTATATCGACAAAATAAAATTAAAAAAAAATAAAAAAAAGACCCACTTACTTCTGCCTAACAGGCTCTGAAATAAGAAAACGCTACGTATACTTTTGTTATATAGCAGTCCTTAACTTCAAAAATTCCCTTTTAAATTACATAATAAAAGAAACAGGGCCACAATAATCAACCACATTGTACATCGACAAAATAAAATTAAAAAAAATAAAAAACAGAAACAAAAGCCCTATATAACCATAATACATAGATATGTTCCTACAAATATAAGTGAGAAAATTAAATATTAGAATTTCAGGAGTAAATAATTATGAGTCTCCTAGAAGACCACCACTGTTTAAAAATACTGTTTAGCCTTCAAAAACACGTTTTCTGGGCAAGAAACTGGTCAAGTTCAATAAAATGTTAACATTACCACCTACTCTCCCAAGTTGTTATCATGAAAAGTTTAGACTATACAGAGGGCTGGCAGGTTAGCTCAGTTGGTTAAGAGTGCAGTGCTGTTAACACCAAGCTCCAGGGTTTGCATCCCTGTGCCGGCCAGCCACCAAAACAAAAAATAAATTAAAAAATAAACCATACACAAAAGTTGAAAGAACAGTACAATAAATAAACTATATACCATAAGTCAGATTAAAAAATCATTAAAATTTTACCATATTTGCTTTCTATTCCTCCCTCCTTCTTCCTCTTTTTTTCCTGCTGAACCATCTTAAAGTAATTTATAGATATCATGGCATTTCACTTCTAAATACTTCAGTGTGCATGTCCTACCACAGTGTTTCTCCCACCTAATGTGCCTGCGAATCCCTGGGGTATCTTGTTAAAATGCAGTTTCTGACTCTGTAATTCAGAGGCGGTACCCGCAATGCCACTTGTCTAACAAGCTCTCAGGTGATGCCGGTGCTCTGCACCTGTCTTCCACGCTCTGAGTAGCAAAGTACTAAGTATAAGAATATTCTCCGTTTTAACCACTATACCTTAGCTAACCTAAGAAAGTTTCTTATTGTCTATATTCAGACTTTCCATAATATTTTTTGTAGCTTTTCTTTTTCTTACCAGAGATTCAACCAAGTTTCTTGCATGGTGTTTAGCTCCAGTCTCAGTAATCTAGAGCAGTCCTTCCCTTCATCCTTTCCCACTCATCCACCCACCACTCAATGGCTTTTTAAGAGATTAAGTAAATTGTCTTGTAGAATATTCCATGACCTGGATTTGTTAGGCTGTGCTCAAGGTGTCTAACTTGTTCTCTTACTCCTTATATTTACAGGAAATCCAATGGATTAAATTCAGGTTAAACTTTTTTGGGGGGATGGGGGGGAGCGGCTGGTCAGTATGCAGATCTGAACCCTTAACCTTGGTGTTATAACACCACACTCTAACCAAGTGAGCTAAATGGCCAGCCTCAGGTTCAACATTTTTTGCTAGAATATCCCATAGGTGAAAGTGATAATGTCAGACTGTGTTACATAGGAGCACATAATGCAAGTGGATCCACTATCAGTGAAGCCAGCTTTGATCACTTGGATAAGGTAGAGACTATAAGATCACTTCACCCTACAAGTAGTTCTCCTTTTACAATTAGAATGAATCTGGGGGTGCTACTTAGGCATCCTGAAAATAGCCTGTTGGGAAAATAGAATAATTTAATCAGGCCCCATCACCTTAGGTCTGGTTGGGGGTGGTGCAGCACATTCTTTGTAAATAAGTTGTGTGTGGGTGAAGTTAGTGCGCATGCACAGCACCACCACCTGGCTGGAGTTTACTGCCTCAGGCATCTACCCCTTGCGAACATGCTCTCCAAACTACAGCTCCAAGGACCTTTTTGCCAGTTACCTAGCTTGTAGACCTGCGTGTGAAGGGTTTGTGACCCAGTCTGGACAACAGGCTTGAAGCATCTGTGAGCTCCAGACTCACCCCTAGCTCGACATAGCCTGTCCCCCCAAAATCTTTTACTGATGATCCTTGCCTGAATTATTCCATTGAGGGTCATAAAATGGTGATTTTCTAATTCTATCACTCCTTCTACTTATATTAGCAGGCGCTCTTCTATGAGAAGCTTTCTCTCATCAACTGGGAATGAATCAGTTTCTCCCTTACAGTGGGCAAGGTAATTTCTCTCCCTTTATCAATTTTCAGAGTAATTTAGTCTGAGTCTCTTTCAATGGTAGCGACTGAAGAGTTTTACTTTTTTTCTCTTTTTTTTTTTTAGTATCTGTATGGACTCATTTTTATTTACTCAAGGTTTACAATTACAATCTGTTTTGGGTTTTTGATGCTTGAATTGTTCCAAATTTGGCCAGTGGAAGCCCCTTCAAACAGGCCCCAGAGTCTCTGACATGCATTCATAGTCTTTTGAGAGTTTCCATGCATTATTTATTTTCATTATTTTAACTAAAAGTGAAAAAGTAACCTAAAAAAGAGCCTATTACGCAAGTTCTCGTATTCTTCATGAGGATAAAAATGGACTTAAAAATGTCATATCTAAAAAGGCAACTGATAAACTTTACCAACAGAGCATCTTAATTTGGGAATAAGCACGTGTTTTCTTGTATTACAGTTCCTAAGAATGGGACAGTGACATCCTAGGTGACACAGCAACAAAACAAGATCTTGCTCTGCAACAGACCTTGCCCCTAGGCTAATCACATTTGCCCTGTTTCAGTCACTCCTTTCTGTATAATCTGGTCATCTATCAACTTCTGGGAAGAATCAGAGCAGTCTAGAAAAAGTCCACCCAACAACCATTAGACAGAGGATGACTTACTATACGGCTCTTAGGCACCTTTCAAGACATAAAGATAAAACCCAGCCTGCCACAAAAATGATCTATAGCAGTGAGTCTCAAATTTTAATATGCATAAGAATCGCCTGGGGGGGGGGGGGGTCTTACAAAATGCAAATTCTGATTCAGTACTTGCAGGGTGGAGCCTAAGAATCTACAATTTAACAAACTCCCAGGTGTTGCCCATGTTGCTGGTGCCTGGTCCACACTTGGGGTGGGTAAAGGTCTACAGGGATTCAAAAGCTCTGAGTATATTTTTTCTCCAAGTGAGAGACTTTGAGTTTGGGTTCAAATATTAATGCTAATGTGTATATCCTTAACCACTTTCTCATTATTTTTTCTCTTCATACCTGCTGAAAGTTTTTATGCAATAGTCATGAGAATGCGTAGAAAATTACCACCCACTTTTATCTATGTCTCAAGATTACCAGGTCACAGATGTGGCTGCATCTAAAACTTGACGTAATTAAAATGCATCTCCTCAAAAGCCAACACCATTTTGGGATATCACTAGCAAAGAACCCCCAAGATGATAACAAAATAAAAGAGAATAAAGTGACTATCCCCAAAAGATCAAGAAAACAGTGAAGAAGTCAGTTCCGGGTAACTTCTCCCCTTGTCATAAAGGCACCACAATCTAGCCACGACAATCATGAGAACCAGATTTACCTGGACAGCATTGGCCTTCACCTGAGGCACCTCGGCCATCCTCTGCAGATGCTTCAGCAATACCTCCTCAGTGAGGTCATTCTCGGGCAGAAAATACTGATAGACTTCATACTGCAGCCGCCACCTGGAGTCCTGGCCAGTCTCCACATCACATGGTGGCGGATCTGCACCTCTAAAGCCAAACAACAAAACTGAACATCAATCTCTTGTGGTGCAAGTCCTGTCTCTACAAAAGTTCTGATTTCAAACTTCTACAACAACAATTCCAATTTAACAGTTTACCTTTTGCAGGGCAATAATTGGTATTCTGAAGAAAAGAAAAACACTGTTATGGACTGAATGTTTGTGTTCCCCCCCAAATCACTATGTTGAAATCCTAACCCCAGTGTGATGCTGTTAGAAGGTGGGGCCTTTGGGAGGTAATGAGATCATGAGGGTGGAGCCCTCCTGGATGGGATTCATACCCTCGTAAGAAGCCAGAGAGTTAGCTAGCTCTTTTCCTCCATGTGAACACACAAGAAGAAGTCTGCAACCTGGGAGAGGGCCCTCACTAGAACCCCCCCCTGCTGCCCTGATCTTGGACGTCCAGCCTCCAACACTGTGAGAAATAAATGTTTATTGCTGAAGCCACCCAGTCTATGGTCTTTTGTTACAGCAGCATGAACTAAGACACACTGAGAGGCAAGTGCAATTAAATAACCAGATTCTGATGTCATCAGGCCTACCGTAAAATTCCAGCTTTGCCATTTGCCAGCTGCATGCGTGTGGGCAAGACCTTGACCTCATTAAGCTCTAGGGAACCTCTGTGTAAAATAAGAGCAATTGCCTCCTCTTCATAAAATGGTTAGGAGTAAATGACAAAGAACACATAGACCCAGCACTGTGGATGCTGTACCACGAGCATTCATCAAATGTTACTCAAATGTTGGCTATCATTACTATTCACGTAGAAACTGAGGCAAAGTTCTAATTAAAATAATAAAACCTTTACAAAAAGATAAGGATGTTTCAGAACTACAGTGTTTTCTGTAGTTAAAATGCTTTATAAAAACTAGGATGTACTTCCAAGCTCATAATAGACTCACTCTGACTCTGCAAATAAAAAGAGTTCCCAAGAATGAAAGGGGAAAATATTAACTGTAAATGACAGCTCAAATATTAGTAATGAGGTTTAAATTACACCAATCCCCCCAAAAATTAAACAATTCAATTTTACTGTACAGAACTGTGGGTCAGAGAGAGTTCATTGAATCTACACAACAGTTAGTCATGTATGTTCCAGAAACAGTTTTAGGAGCTAGGAGATAGACATACCTTGCATAGCCTAGGTTTGCTGGGGCAAATTTGATAGTTGTTTCAAAAAAATTATACTCCACATAAACGTTGGGATCAATATCTAAATCAAACTCCAGATTACAGCCTCCAGGAATAGGATCTGGATGAAAAATAGGGAAGTTACTAAACAAAGAATTCTTATATAACCAAATCATACTCAGAAAAACGGAACTCTACCCTTAGAAGAACTTCCCAAACAGAAGTTAAATATAAACTTAGAGCTTGGAGTTTTGTACTAGCCCATGAACTGAGGTTAAAGAGGGTGAAGCTAACTGAGGTCAAGGGCCTTGGAGCTGGGGATGGCAAACCTTTTCTGTAAAGGGCCAGAGAGTGGGTACTTTAGGCTTTGCAGGTCTGATGGTCTCTGTGTATACAATTGTGGCACCGCCCAGACTGTATACAATCCCTTTTGTACCCTGGCTGCAGCCATACCCACTGCTCACCATTCTCCAAATACACTGTTCTTCATGACATTAAACTTACTGCTTCCTCTGCCTAGAATAACCAACTAAACTGTTAAGGACTATGTCTTGCCTTTCTGCTCTTCTCCAGGGGCTCCCCAAATGCTTTTTGAGTGAATAAATATATTTTCCTAGTCAGTACCTGAGTTTTCAGTCATCATGAAAATTTTCTAGCTCCCTTGCTATTAAAATATTTCTGATTAAATAAATTGTACTTGTGATAAACAATCTTAATAGGATTATAATTTCCCTTAAGTTTTCATAATCACATCCCATATTCCAGAAAGTAACAGGGAGCTGAAGACAGAAAGGTTACCTCTTTCTGAGTAGGAGAGTGGGATGGCCACATTTTGGACCGGCTCTGCATCTAAAGTCTCCAAGTGCCAACTGCACATGCTCTGCTCTGGTCTAAGAATGAAAACCAGTCCTCTGTCAGTGCCTGTTCCCGAGTTATTGGGAAGGAAAGTCTGCAATTAGGAAGAAAAGTCATCATGAGTAGGGTCTTAAACAAAATATATATATTCCAGAGCCTACTTAATATGCATGTCCTATTCCAAATGTTCCCAAAAGAAAAAGGAAAAAAAAAATAGACCTTCCTTAAATAGAGAATTCTTTTGATCGTTTTGTTCATGCGCCCGCACATGCACATGGAAGACCTCTTTAAAATATATGATAGTCTTGGTCAGTTCAGGCTGCTTTAATGAAGAAATCATAGATTAGGTAATTTATAAACAAAAATGTATTTCTCACAGTTCTGGAGGCTGCAAGTCTGAGATCAGAGTGCCAGCATGTTCAGGTTCTGGTGAGGACCATCTTCCAAGTTGCAGAGTGCCAACTTCTGGCTACTTCCTCACATGGCAGAAGGGGAAAGGGGCTCTGTGGGGCCTCTTTGATAAGGGCGCTAACACCATGCATGAGGACAGTGCCTAGTATCAACACTTTAGGGGTTAGGATTTCAACATATGAATTTGGGGGGATACACACCTTCAGTCCTTAACTGTGATCTTTGACCAGGAATAGCAGATGCACAGTGAAATTCCCAAGCGTTTCAATTCATCTGAATTGAAATTTACTATGTTATGTACTGAGACCACCAAGACAAAAACATGAGCCCTGCCCCCAAGGAGTTCACAGTTTTTAGAAAGCTTTTTAAATTGAGTTATAATTGACATATTATAAACTGCACATAAATTATCCTATTTGGTAAGTTCTGATACATGTAGACACCTGTAAATCCATTGCCATGATCAAGATAATATGTATCACCCCAAAAAGCATCCTGTGCTCCTTCCTAATCCTTCCTCGTACCCCTCCCCTCTACCATCCCCCACTCTCATTTGCTTGGAAAGCTTTTTGAATAATAAAATGTAAGCTAAGGGGTAATAGATTCAGGGTGTTCTCTTAAAGCTAAGGAAATGGGAAGAAAGAAGTACCAGATCAGTTTCAATTTGACAAGCATGAGGGAAAATGACTCAAATAATAACTGATTAACTGTAGGATCGATAGCTTCAAAGAACCAACTGCTATGATGACCCAAAAAACCCAAAGTACCATGCTTCATCAGGGAGGGCACGGGAAACAAAATCAATTCTCCACATAGACCACGTGCAGTTCTGGTCAGCATCTTCTAAGTAGTGTACATAGTGGGCACTAAAGGCAGCCCAAGAAATGAAAACTATAATAATTTAGGATAGCTAAAATCATTTCTGCATAGAAATTGAGGCCCAAGATGCCATTCATCCACGCCTCTTTTGTCATGTTTTAGTTATGTTGACATCCCTTTATCCAACTGCTATAGTTTGAATGTTCCCCCAAAACTCATATTGAAGCTCGATCCCCATTGTAACAGTGTTAAGACTGTGGGAAATCCAACTATGGTATTTTAAAGGCGGGACTTTTCAGGAGGTGATTGGATCATGAGGGCTCTGTCCCCATGAATGGATTAGGCCTTTCATGAATTAATGGGTTAATGAATAAATGAGTTATTACAGGAGTGGCAATGGTGGCTTTATGAGAGCAAGTGAGCACATTAAGAGACTCTTCCTCCCTCACATGTGATAACTCAGGACTCTGCAGAGAGTCCCCACCAGGAAGGAGGCATTCGCCGGATGTGCCCCCTCAACCTTGGACTTCCCAACCTCCAAACTGTGAGAAATAAATTTTATTTCTTTATAAATTACCTAGTGTCAGATATTCTGTTACAAGCAACAGAAAACGAACTAACACACCAAGCTGTTTCCTCAGACATAGAAACAGGTATTACAACCACTTTGTTGAGCTGTTTTGAGATTTAACTATATGGAAAACCAAACACAGGGGTTCCTAACCAGGGGCCTGGGGTTCCCACTGAGTTTTCAGAGGTCCCTATGAAATTATACACATATGCCCCCATGAAATCATAAATTTTGCCTGGGACAGAGTCCATTGCCTTGAATAGTCTATGGCCCCAGGAGCTTAAGAACCACTAGCCCAACACATAGTAGGCATTCAATAAGTATAAATGCTGTTTTCCCCCATCCTTTCTCTTTTCCTTCAAATATTGTCTTTGCTATGATGTCATTAAGAAGGAAATCATCTTATTATTTGTCAATTAAAAATTTTTTAAACTGAGCTAGCATTAAAAAAAAGGAAATTACCTATGTGCAATTTTACAATGTCTCCTATATAAGAGCCTGAATAGGAAGTTTTCTTTTAAATTTAGTGCCAGAAAAAACTTGGCCTTCCCTGAGGAATTGGCATACTTCCTCCTTTTCAGGAAATTTAACATGCTTTACTTTCTGCTCTGGCTGCAAAGAACTCAGGCAAAATCAACCTATGGGTAAGACATTGTTATCTCTTGCAATTAACACAATTTCTTTTCCTCTTTTTCCTTAGACAAACTCTTTCATTTCTGATCTATTAACTATCTTCCCCGCCCCACCCCAATACATACACAATGGCAAAACCTTCATGGTAAGTATAGGAAGGCAGAAAGAAAAAAATACAAAATACTAGGAAAGATAGTATGACCAAGGCCTAAAGCATTACATATGAACTGGGTTAAGACAGTTTTGTTTATCAAATTCCAGAATATTATAAGATAGGCTTAGGACAAATAGAAGTGCAACTTCATACAGAGTGAAATACATTTATTAGTCTAAGGAGTCACATATGAAGGTACTTCAAAAAGTTCACAGTCTCAGTTGGTCAGAGCATGGTGTTACAACACCCAGGTCAAGGGTTCAGATCCTGACACCAGCCAACAGCCAAAAAAAAAAAAAATTTACAGAAAGATTCATATTATCTTTTAATTCTATTTTTCCACAAACTTTTTGAAGTATTCTTGTAAAAAAATTTGTAAAAGTTTACCATAAATGGCAGATTCTTAACAACTTAAGCTAATCCAGGGCATCTTAAAAGCTTTGCAAAGCTGAGGTTGAGGTTAAGGAGGTTAGCAACGATGTCTATAACAGAGTCCTTAACACTGCTGGAAGAACAGCACGGGGCTGGATGAACTGAGTGTTATAATTCTTTTGTTTGCATGAGAGACTCCAAAGAATAAAGTCTATCCTATAGGAATCTTACTGAACTTCAACACTAAATAGCTACACAAAAATGAAAACCCATTAGAATATATTCTCAGGTAAAAATTATTAAGGACCCACTACAGTAAGAAAAAAAAAGGTGGGATCATGAGAAAAGTTAGCCGCAGAGAGGAGACATTTGGCACAGGGTACCTACCCTCCACCCCCTCTGCTAACACCTCCTCTTTACATCAGAGACCACCACACTCAAGAAAGGCCTGTGACACACCTCTTCCTCAGCCTCCATCACTAACCTGAGAGGACTCAATTTTGATTTTTTTTTTAAGATTTAAGACAAAAAGTCTTAAACATAAAGAGACATCAAATGCTAATGCATATACTAAATATAAGACCGAAAAATATGGAAATAATTTTTTTTTTTTTTTCCGTGTCCAGCAACAAGATCGCAACCCTCAGTGTCGCCCCCGTACTGGACCGGGACCGGCAACGGGGGCCCAATATGGAAATAATTTTTACTGAAATAATTCTTTGTACTTACCTTAGAAAAAGAAATTGTTGTATTCTGATACTGTGAGTGTATTTGGAAAATAAGAAAAGTCACATTGCTAGAAATGTGACGCAAAATAGCTTCCTCTGGAAAGAGCCTGTTGAGCTTGAAGTATCTAAAGTTCCCCATCGAAAATTCAAGAAGACCTACGATGGGAGAAATTTTTCATTATAACATTTGTACCTCTCATATCAATTTTGTAGAAATCACATTCATAAACAAATGTGGAATGTTAATTTAATCCTCAGAAAAACTGGAGGTAAATTGTACTATTATGCCCATTTCACTGATGAGGACAATGAACCCTAAAAGGTGAAGCAGCCCACCCAGGGTCACTTAGCTAGGAAGTGGTGGAACTGAGAACTAAAATCGAAGAAAGGTATTTCAAAAGATGTGAACAATACTGAGGATGGGCTCCAGAGCCCAGAAATATTTCCCATCTGGTAGCAGCAACAATTCCCTTTGAAACAGAGTACCCGAATTTAAGGATGAACGACCCTGTAAGGCTACTAAAAATCGTGAATGTGCTGGGATTAAAGAACAATACCAAATAGTGAATTCTAACATCAGCCCAGCCTGGAGGGACACAGGTAGCTTCAATTTAATCTTACCATTTACTAGCTGTGTGATTTTTAGGGAAGTCACTTAATTTCCTTAAGCCTCAATCTCCTCATCTGTAAAACTGGGATTGTATCCACAATTCTAATTCCTAATTCACAAAGGAAGGTGCCATCAACATTGGCAAAAACGCTTGGGGTGTCCACACCAGTCACTTCACATACAATCATGAACCACAGGCATTCTGGAAAAGGGATTTTTTGTTTGCTTGTTTAAGGATCAAGCTCAAAGTCCATGTAAAAGATCAGTTATAACAAGAATAGTTTTCCAACACCTCAGCTAGGCCTCTCCCTCCTGAGTACCTGCCTCCACTGTCTGGGTGTGTTTCACTCACTCACTCTGTGCACGGTTCTCTGTGACATGTCTCTCTTCCAGCTGCACACCAGTTCTTTCTTTTTCCAGTCTAATTCTCAAGTAAACCACTAAATTAGGTTGCTTTTACTTCCGTGTGGTCCTGGATTCCCACCTCACCCCCCTCCTTATAGTCAGCAGATCTCTGCAAAAATAGCAGAAGAGCACCCAAGCATTACATAAACAGTTTTGGGGGTTCAGATCTAAAAACAGGAAAAAAGATTTAAATTTAATATAGATGAAAAGGAGTTGATGACAAAAAGATTATAATTCACCCAAGTCCCACAGTGGAAATATCATGTTTTATTTCAGAAGGAAATTAGAGTCAGCAGGTGATAAAAGAAAACATTACAGACACTAAAATAACTTAAAAATACATTTTTATGTACCATTTCCCAAGAAGGCCAATTTTCAATATTTTTTTAAAAGATACAAATACTCCTTCTGGACGATTAAAAACAAAACAAAACAAAAAACTATCAAGAATGGTTAACCTGTGGAAGGAAAGAGAAAAAGAACATACAAATAATGCTAAGACTACAATAATAATTAATCTCTACAAATTTTCCCAAGCTCTGTGATGCTATATTACCTTTATAACTCAATGCAATTTTTTAAATTGATGATACAAAAAGTTTTTTAATTGATGATAGAAAAAAAGGTTATTTGGGCCGGCCCAGTGGCGCACTGGAAAAAAACAAAACAAAACAAAAAACTATCAAGAATGGTTAACCTGTGGAAGGAAAGAGAAAAAGAACATACAAATAATGCTAAGACTACAATAATAATTAATCTCTACAAATTTTCCCAAGCTCTGTGATGCTATATTACCTTTATAACTCAATGCAATTTTTTAAATTGATGATACAAAAAGTTTTTTAATTGATGATAGAAAAAAAGGTTATTTGTGGTTATGATTGAATTTCTAAAATTTTAATACTTGTAACAATTACAACAAATGAAGATGGTATATTTCCTCCATTTATGTAATCAGAAAGATATTTTACATTTTATATGGACCCAACTTCAGCCAGAATAGAGGTAAAAACATTAGGGGAGTGGCTGACAGAATCTGGGTAAGGAAGACTGGAAAATGTGAAGGGTGTGTGTGTGTGTGTGTGGGTGTGTGTGTGTGTGTGTGTGTACAAGAAAAATATTTTTATATTTTCCAGGCATTCCCATCATCATGATTATTTTATTAGGAAACCAAATTACAGATAAAAGTAAATGGATCTCAGTAAATTCCACTAAAAACGTTTCATATATTGCACTTTAATTTTGGTGCCATCTACTATCTATCTCCCAAGTCTTAAAAATACCACCCATTCTAGTCTGTCAAACTACACAGTATCAGTCTGTTTTCCTAGGAGTTAACTGAATTTCCACCCCCT